TTATGTAACATACGTACAGAGCTAGTAAGAATTTACTGGTACTATCGTCATTAATGAATTACATCTTAGTGTATCTTGATTACAAAGTGTGGTAAAGAAATTCCCCGATAAATATTTCCCTTCACAATGTTTTTTTTTTAAATTTTTTTCCGAAAATTGTTGGGAAAACTTTCGACTCTCTGTAGGAGAGTAGATTAATTAAGGAAATAGAAAAAAAAGTTCGATCTAATGTCTAAATGTGCTTAGGCAGGCTCATGTTGAAAACAGTCTAATTAACGATAAATATCTAACAAGAACTTTGTGAAAAATATTGAGATCAGAAGGGTTACATACAGCTACAAAGTATACATGCATTAAGAAAGCGTGTAACTTACCAGCGCTTTTCTAATGCTTTCCAGCATTTTGCCAATGTTCTTACAAACTTTCCTAAACAAAGTTGCTACGGCGTATTGTGACGTTTAAGATCTTTGTATATGACGTCATAGAGGTCATTGTAATGATAATTGTTTGTGACGTAGGCACTGAATGTATAAAGATGCAAAAGCTTTTCCGTCAAGTCGAGAAAAATCCTCGGAGGTTTTTATTTGGACATGACGGAGAAGGATGTTCTGTTGATAATAATGAACTTCATTTCAATGAGTAATTAATTTTGTTTCATTGACGATAAAATTTTATAACAGCACAAGGATAATGAAATATGATTAGGACCATGTTTGTCTATTCTATCTGACGATTCTTATTATCATGTTGACAATCTGGATCTTTTTTCTATATACTGAGAAACCTTTTTAGTTACAGGTAGATTTACACACACATCCCCAGATCCGCGCATGGCTTGATGGGTAATATGCAGCTTAGTCATTTCCATTTGTTGCAGTAAAATATTTGATGATATACAATGAAATGAACGGATACAATTCGTCACGAACGTCAGAAAAAACACTGGATTGAAATTCTAGTTTATAGACGTTGATTTTCAATCAACCTTTGCTATTTTCATATGCTGTGTTAATTTTTTTTATCCGAAAGACAAAAAGTTCAATTCCTAATTATTTTAAAACTAATTTAGATCCGAATCTCTATCCAATATTTTTTAAAGACACGCAAGTTACAGATATACAAGTTTCAGGACACGGCCAAGGAGTTCTAAAGGGGGGGGGGGGGTAAATTTATTTCTGTTCACGTCTTCACAAAATAGAGTACATTGTATATTTATTTCTAGGATAAAGAGATATTATTTATTTTGATCTACACTGACAAAAATGTATAACAAACAAAACCATCAGGGCTGAGAGGATGGGGAGCGAGGATGTCAAAACTCAAAACCTAACCTTTCTTGTTTATTTACAAGACCTGCCAGTCCCCTCTCCCACACACGAATCAAAAGGTCGTCAACTATTCATTTCTTTAAAAATTAACATTGGTCATAAAAGTTTTGATTCATATAATTTCAAACTATTCCAAAATAGATATTATGTGTCTTCTGGATCAATCAGTAACACTGTGTGTATGAGAGTAGCTGAGGTGGATTGAAAATGAATTTCGAACTAGAAATTCAATCCAAAGTTTTCTCAGACGCCCGCGCTCATTTCATTGTCTATCATTAAATGTTTTGACTGTATATTTCCAATCTTGCCAGTTAATATTCCGCGGTCTTAACATAAAATGTGCTTCGACGCGGACTTCCACTTTGTCGAAATCTCAGTTTAATCAGTAAATAAGAATTTATCACTTCAACCTATGTGAAAACATTTATAGTGATCACATATAGATAGCGTATAACTTACCAGAGTCTTACCCAACTTTAACCTTGATCATAACTTTTGAACAATTGGTGATAGAGCTTTCATACTTCACACGTGTAATCACTGTAACAAGACCTTCCTTTGAATACCAACAAATTTGACCCTTTGACCTAGACCTTGGAGTTTGACCTACTTTTGGAATACTTGAACCTTGGTCATAACTTTTGATCGGTTGGTGTTAGGGCTTTCATACTTCACATATGTAATCCTTGTGACAAGACCTTTCTTTGAATACCAACACCTTTGACTCTTTGACCTTGACTTTGGAGTTTGACCTACTTTTGGAAAACTTTAACATTGGCCTTAACTTTTAAACGGTTGGTGCTAGGGCTTTCATACTTCACATATGTAATCCATGTGACAAGACCTTCCTTTGGATACCAACAGTTATAATCCATTGATCTTGACCTTAGAGCTTGACCTACTTTTTGAAAACTTTCACCTTGGACAGAACTTTTAAACAGTTGTTGCTAGGGCTTTCATATTTAAAATGTCTATTCCTTGTGACGAGACCTTTCTTTGGATACCAACAATTGTAATCCATTGACCTTGACTTTGGAGTTTGACCAACTTTTGAAAAACATTAACCTTGGTCATTGAACGATTGGTGCTTCATTTGTCATATTTCACATGTGTATTTCTTGGGAGAAGGCCTTTCCTTAAGCACCATTAATTTTGACCATTTGACCTTGATGTTTGACATACTTTTGAAAAAAAAAACTTTAACCTTTTCTATAATTATTCAACGGTTGCTGCTAGGGCTTTCATATTTCACAGGTATATTCTTCAAGACAAGACCTTACTTTTGGTACCAACGTATTTGATTTGCATTTGAGAAAGTTTAACCGTTGCTATTAGTTGCCATACGGGGGCATCAGTGTTTCACAAACACATCTTGTTTATATAGCGAAACAATAGGAATTTCACACACCTTGTTCATCCAAAATTAACAAAACCAATCTTACTTCTTTCATGTAATATACCATGCCAACCAAGCAGATGTTGTGGACATGTTCCTATTACATCCCGGACTTCAGCATCAGCACTTTAAAATTACATGTATTTCCATCAATAAGTAAAATCCATATCAAAGTTGTACTACATGTGTATATAAACTTGATTAACATGATTCAAATGCATATATTTAATAACTCATCTTTAGTATGGATATATGATATACATTATACATGTAAAACATAGCATCAGTTAAAAATATATTCCTATTTATATAAGAAATTAAAAAACTGACCAGTCAGCAAGGGTCCCGCAGAGGAATATACATCTAAGATGCAGTTTAAAGGATCAGAATACCTCAACTTGAAAATGTGGAAGGAGATTCGGGGGTATATAATTTTTGCCCTGTCCGTCCGTTTGTCTGTCTATCTGTTTGTCCGCAAAAACTTTAACATTGCCCATAACTTTTGATTGGTAGGAGCCATGACTTTCATATTTCACCTGCGTATTCCTTGTGACAAGACCTTTCTTTTGGTACCATCATATTTGGCCTTTTGACCTTGACCTTGGAATTTGACTCAGTTTTGCAAAACTTAAACCACCTTTAACCTTGGCCATAACTTTTGAACAATTGGAGCTAGGGCTTTCATACATTACATGTGTAATCCCTGTGACAAGACCTTCCTTTAGATATCAACAACTTTGGCCCTTTTCCTTGACCTTGGAGATTTACTTACTTTTGAAAAACTTTAACCTTGCCCATAATGTTTAACAATTGGTGCTAGGGCTTTCATACTTCACGTGTGTATTTCTTGTGACAAGACCTTCCTTTGGATACCAACAATAATAGCCCATTCACCTTGACCCTGGAGTTTGACCTACTTTTGGAAAACTTTAACCTTGGCCATAACTTTTGAATAGTTGGTGCTAGGGCTTTCATACTTCATGCATGTAATTCTTGTGATAAGACCTTCCTTTGGATATCAACAATTGTAATCCATTGTTCTTGACCTTGGAGTTTGACCTACTTTTGAAAATTTTTTACCTTGGCCATAACTTTTGAACAGTTGGTTCTAGGGCTTTCATATTTCACATGTGTATTTCTTATGAGAAGGCCTTTCCTTGGGCACCATTAATTTTGACCATTTTACTTGATGTTTGACTTACTTTTGAAAAAACTTGAACCATTTCCATATCTATTCAATGGTTGCTGATAGGGCTTTCATATTTCATAGGTATATTCCTCGAGATAAGACCTTACTTTGGGTACCAACATACATTTGATTTGCATTTGAGAAAGTTTAACCTTCACAGTACGTTGCCGTACAGGGGCATCAGTGTTTCACAAACACATCTTGTTAAATTTGCAGATAGAGGTGTTAATTAATCTTAATGTGATAGATAATGGGCTGTGATTTTCTGCAGCAAGCAATAAAATCATGCCCATGGGACTCACTGCACTTTTATACAAGGTTTACAATAAGAATATTTTCAGCAATAATAGAGTTTATTTAATTATCCAACTATATGTACCCGTCATAAAATTAAAAGTATCCTTGTATAAGGCAGTAATGAAAAAAAATATGTCCTTAATCATATATATATATATATATATATATTTTTTTTTTTACAATCACAGAAAATGTTATATGTTATTTAATTAAAGGTAACAGATAAAGATTTGGCTCTGGATTTTCTTCAGCAAGATAATGAACCCCCAGGGGACTCACTGTACTCTTAGTAACATGCAAAGAGATATATAAAGAGCATTGGGATGTTAACCGAGGCTCTTACTTGTAGGAATAGGACTCACTTCTGCTGTCATTCTTTTATACAGTTTACAGAAGAAACATTTTCAGCAGTTACCTCTCTTTGCGTATTCAAACTAAAGTTAGGAATCTTTCACACCACCTCAGCTCCTAACAGCTTAACCTGCTGCTCATTCCACAAACATACCAAATTTGAACAAAACAGGACAATAATTGAAAAAAGTTACTACAAAAACCCAGAAAAAATGTGGATGGAGAGATTGACAGACAGACAGATGAAAGGACAGACAGATAGACAGTGATTACTATAGGGCACTTTCAAATTCTTGTTGGGCCTTAATGAACATTAAACAGGTAATGTATGATATAAATTATAAATGACTCATTGCATACCAGCATAATACCTGTATTTTCTAATTTAAGGTTCAGCATGTTCAAATTTACTAATTCATTACTGATTCATATGAAGTGCAAAACAAAGATGATAAAAAAATTATAATAATCAAGCTTAAAACCAGACAAATATAAAAGGTATGTAAACATTTCAATCTCTAATCTTTGAAATAAATAAATTGCACTTCTAGTCACTTTCTCCCTGGCTGTCATCACTTAAGACCAGACCCGCAAATCTGTTGGTCAGTTGACAGTTTGCCACGTATCGCACCTGTAATTTAGTTTTCTTTTCCACCTCTGGGGAGAGTTCCAGACTTTTTGAATTGCTAGAACCAGATGCATTCCTTTTGCTTTTCTTTCCCTTGTCTTTGTGAGATTTGTTTCTCTTCTTATATTTAGAGTCAGAGAGTAAACCATCTGGTTCAAGAGAATTTATCAATACATCATAAAGGCACTGGTAAACCTGTGGAAGCTTGGAGTCCTTCACAAGCATTTCACATATAAACAGGTCTGGACTTCTTCGCTTCTGAAGCTCTTGACAAAAATTATACAGAAAAGTTCCAGAGAATATGTGAGGAGTGTAGGGACTAGGGAAAGGGCACTGAAGAAGAAAGTTAAATTGCAAAGCAACCAGAATACAGGACTGGAACTGAGCAAATCCATGGATCAGTTCGCTGTCTACAGGGTGTTTGCTGCTGTGTTCAGGCCTTGCATTGTATGGATGAAGCCTGGTCCTGACTTCCTTTACAGTTTCTGTAGGTGTTTCCAGAACAGCTGTCTCTATCAGATTCTCCCTGGTCCCTGTAGGCCCACGATGAATAAGTACCCACTTTACTTTCAACATAATCAGACAGACCACAGCAGCCTGTAAATGATAAACTGTTACTTTTGGTTTGGCATTCCTGACCCAGTATAGAATGATTCCTAAAACAAGCTCAAGATCTTTAGTCATGTGCTCTGTGTCAAAGAGTGGTATGTTTAGTGCCTGACGGAGGAAGTTCTCTTTATAGGAGGATAAAAGGTCTGGTATTGCAGGAAGCCTTGGCACCGGACCATATCCTTCAAAAGCACGGGCCGGTAATACAATTTTTTTGGTTAAATCCAGTCCAACTCTATCATACTCCTCTACACCACATTTTCTGCTTACCACTACCTCATCATTCTTTTCCAGACCAGCAATATCCTCTGAAAGAAGAATTCCATACATTAGCTGCCTTAGTTTAAGAGAACATTGATGTGACGACTGGGATTTTGGATGTTCCACTTGGAGTAAGAGAAATATTCTGTGCAATGTTATGACGTCCAAGAAGCTGGGAGGAAGGATTCCCTGTCGATGACTGGGTAAAAACCAACTAGGGATCACTGACCCATTATAGCCCTGGACCAAATTCCAGCTAGAGGGTACTTTTACCTCTAAACTTTGCATTTCTGTACTATAATTATCTCTGAAGAACTTATGAAGAGAGCATCCAGAATCAGTTGCACTGGTTGTAAATGCTTCAATAGTTTTTCTTATGGCTACTGAAATGGTCTCTTTCTGTGCTGGTGATCCTGCACTTTCCATAAGTTTTTCGATTCCTTCCTTGTATGACTCTAAACTTTCTAGCCAGCTTATTACCTTTTGGATTTTCAAATGAGACTTTGGAATTCTAAACTGTGTTCTTCCTTCATACGATCTGACTGATGAATAAAATGACTGGAAAATACGAATATCCACATAATCATTTCCAAGGAGGGCAGCCAACAACGGTAAAACATCTCTTCCTAAGGAAGGGAAGAATTTCACAAAATTGTCAACATGGTACCTCCGGGCAGGCAGGTAATGATAGGCAGTACCATCCTCTCTGGTGTTTTCTTGCAATGTAAAATTAACACTGTCAAATGGAATAAAACCAGCACTTAGTGGCAGAATGTAGAAATCACTGTCGTATGACAAAACAGGGCAGTCAAAATCATTAGCTAAGATTCCAATTTCTTTGTCAGCTTCAAAATCACACACAGCAAAAGGTATGTGTATTTGTAACAAAACTTCCTTAAATGTTTCATAGGCCAGGATCGGCATTACTTTGCCCCTCTGTCCCTTTGCTAGACGGATAGCCATTTCAAGTCTCTGCTGCACTCTTCCTAAAATCGTGTGGAATTTTTTGTCATCTTGCTCATATCCACCATCAAACACAACATAAGGCTGAATGTTGCAGGATTGAAGGAGAGTGAAAAATTCTTTAATTTTTCTGGCATACTGATCATAATCTCCTCCATGCAGAAAATCTACATGATTGTTGTAGAAGATAAGATGGTACAGATTATTACCATCAATAACCACCTTGGTATCATGCAGACGCCATTCCTTCAGAAGATGAAGATTATCATCCATAAAGGTTGTTAATCCAGATATCCCCATCTCAGCCTGATGTTAGCCTTCTGGAATAGGAAGAAAATATATTGTAATATGCTTAAATGATAATAAAAGGAACATATTACAGAGACATACATGTTTTAGTATTGCAGAGCAAATTAACACATGATTTAGAGAAATGAAGATTAATACTTCGGAGTCCTTACTGCACACCCACAGTGGGATATGATTTGGGACTGGGGGATATCAGGGATTAATGAAACCTTACTTTGGATATGTTCTTGTATTCTCCTTTCATTTGGAAAAAAAAAGACATCTGAAGGAAAATATCACTTTTGGACTCTTTAAATTACTAGTCTGATGGCTTGCTGGGACTAACAAATTTATTGTACCATTAAATTTGTAAAAGCAAAATTTCTTGTACATTTTGGATTATATATTTATTCTCTTTTTATGCCCCGGCATGAATATGGCTGGGGCATATAGTGTTTGTCATGTCCGTCTTCCATCCTTCTGTCTGTCCTTCCATTGGGCTTTGAGTTTAGCTCAGTTCAAAGCTCATTTTCAAAGAAACTATCCAAGTAATTTTCATCAAACTTCATATGCTGATAGATATTGATGAGAGCTATGCAACAACATTTTTTTACCTTGACCTTTCCTTTGACCTTGACCTCACTTTTCTTAAATTAGTGTCAAAATTTCATATGCTGACACATACTGATGTAAGCAATTCAACTGCATCAATATTTTTGACCTTGACTTTTCATTTGACCTTGACCTCACTTTTATCAATTTGTGTTTAACTCAGTTTAAAGAATTCATTCAAAATATTTTTATCAAACTTAATATGCTGATAAGTATATGTGAGAACTATTCAACTGCATCAAAAATGTTTGACCTTGAACTTTCCTGTGACCTTGACCTCACTTTTCTTAAATTTGCATTTTGCTTAGTTTTAAGGAAACCATTTAAGATATTTATGTAAGCTTATGCACTTATACATAATTTGGTGAGACTTTATCATCTATATCCAACTTTTTAGATTTTAATTTGAAAGAAACTATTCGAGATATTCTGATCAAATTTTCACGTTGCATTACTAATATACCCTTGGCGGGGCATTCATGTCCTATGGACATATTTCTAGTTCAAAGTTATATTAATATGGATAGATAATTCAAAGACTGTCTTGAAATTGTATTATCAGAAAGCTACATGTGTATCCCTAATTAGAATAATCTACATGTAACTGTGTCTCAGGACAGGCCATCTCCACGGTTAGAATGCCTCCCATATACCTGCAATGTAGCAGAAAATTGCAGAATAGCTATGAAACGATTTTGGAGAAAAATAAATGAAGTTGCATTGAAAATAACCATCAAAATAGTCATAACAAACCTTTTTGTGATTGTGGATACCTTTCACCTCAAAAAACTTATCTATATAATGGAAGAATTCATCATTCAATTCACATTTTATACTGCCTCTGATAAAAATCTAAAATATTTCATTGGTTGAGAAAAATACTGTATTAAAACATATTATGCTGCCTACTGACATTATATTGTCAATGTGCCCCCTCCACCTACTCATCACATATCAAATCAATATGTCCCCTCCACAAGCCATACTGTTAAAATCATATTCAATATGTTGTTTCATTTGAACATGCAAGGAGCCTAATAACTGACGTTGAATAAGCATCGAACAACATCACAGTGTAAACAATTGTTACGAACAGTTTGCTTAACTCAGAGAAAATGAACTTTATTAAAAAATCTTTTTTTGGGGGGGTTGGGGGGGGGGGGGGTTGGTTGGTTGGTTGTCATCCTCATTTTCAGTATTAAAAAGTTGCAAACAGACCAAAGGTATCAGAATTTTCTTCATTGATTTGATTTTTATAGCCTTAAAGTATCTCAGAAGATGCAAACGTTCACGATAGTTCATTGCAAACAAAAGGAAAAAGGGGGAGGCAACTGCTCATTATTATTATGCTGTGACACTTGATTTATATCCAGGAAATGCACCCCAAAATAATAAACTCTATGAAATATTCTATAATCTGATAAAACCAAATGGAGCAGAGCTCTGGAAATCAAAAACATGACCGTGACATAATTACATTGAAGACAGAACGTGGGAACCTACCAAATCGGAGTCATGTGCAGCATGTTGGACAACTGTTACTGGAAGTTTAGATGGCGGTGTTTACTTTAGAACCGACAGAGCAGCATTTCTGAATCAATACATGATTTTAAATGTTGACTATTTTGCGGAAATTTTTCAACTCAATTAATAATATAATTGATCATTATTTTGTATTTAAGAATTATCTTGAGGACAATTTCCCAAATTTTTAAAGATCTTTTGAATAGTTTTTCCGGATCTTCAGATTTTGCGAAAACCCAATTTATATTGAGTGAGAAATTTCCGATGTTGACAAAATTCATATGACAGACTCCACTGTACACAAACTGACAGTGAGAAAACAAGGTGCGTGGAGCAATGTTTAAACACCCATCCTTTCCAAGCGTCAGCTGACGTTCAATTAACGTCGATAAGGGCCTAATGCAATTCATTTTTGGCTGTATTTTAATTTATATAATATTGATAGAAGACTTTTTTTAGGAGTTAAACAGGTTGGGAACAATCGCCCAAATGAGATATAATAACCCGTCTGGGATATAATATCCCAAATTGGATATAAATTTACAGTGCAAAAAATGAAAATTTTTATTTTGGCTATAAATATCATAAATCCGCATCAAAATACATTAAAATGAATAACTTTTGGCAAGCAAGTTTTTCTGCAACCCTACGGGACGTTAGATTGATCCCAAAAAAGTTTACAAACTTCTGAGGGATCAATCTCTTAAACAGTGGTCATACAGAAAAACTTGTTACCCAAAAGTTATTCCTTTATAAGTATCTTGATGCGGATTTATGATATGGGTGCTAGTCACTGCGCCCCAAAACCAGAACGCCCCATGCATGAGCGCCCCAAAGATTTTTACCAGCGCCCAAGTACGAATATGAGCGCCCCAAATTCCTCTCATGAGCGCCCCAAATTCATTTCACTAGCGCCCCAAGACTTGTAACCTAGTAAGGAAATAAATATTAATTGCTTTAATTACATGTTGATATAAAGAAACATTAATTAATATGAACAATTGTACATGTATTTCATGATCGCCACAAGTGCATCAAGGTTTATATATCACGAATACCCCACAATATGTAAGCTAGCATATTGATGTCATTTTCAAATGTATTCAAATTATTTTCAATGTTTATACGAACCCAGACCGAAATACTTTTTGAATGAAACAAAGAGAACATAGAGTGACGTTTGATGTTCGTTTTTAAATTGATGATATTGCCAAAGATTTATCACCAATAAAAAGAAACATTAGTATATATTTAGTTAAAAATGACATACGGAATCTCAAAACATAGATTCCTGCTAAATTGAAACTTCATAGCAATTAAGAAAGATAAGAAAGTTACATACATTTAAATATTTATAAAAATTAACCTACCATTTTCTTGCCATGAAGACTCTTCATAAAACGATTCCACAGAAACAACTTAATTATTATTATTACGAGACCTGGGATATATAATGTTATGATTATAAATATTATTTGAATACATTTACCAATGAACAAGCAACAACGAGAAAATTTTTTCTCTCCATATTTTTACATCATTTTTTTTTTAATAATTTCAATGAGAAACCATATGCATGAGACGATTATGAGACACACAGTTTACACCTCCCTATATGCAGAGCATGTGATCCTAATTGTTGTAATAACAATCTATTGACATGTTGTTGAACTATAATGGACGGTACTACCTGAAGATCACTTGAATTAAAATTATACTATTATTTATGGTATAAAATGAATTTAATTAAATTTTATCAACACGAGAAATCTTTTTTAACATGAATCAACAAAGTTTTACTTTTCTCCCTCTGTTGTGAATAAAACATTAAAATACATTTTTTATGACAACTTAATATGTAAATAAATTATAATGCGGTTATATAGCTTAAATATTACATGCTTTGTGTACGAAAAAACATTATATTTAGCATATTAATAGAATAATTTGTTGAAACCAAAGTCCCGACCTGTCTCGTCGATCGTTAGTTCCGAAACGTCATGTACCCTTCTTTAACGGAGGAAGGTCAAATACTTTGTACAGTTGTATCCAACTAAACATAAACCAATGGCAGCATAGATTGAAATAAAATGTGAAATAAATAAATTATCGCTGTTGAAATGCTTTTATTATATATATTAATTCATAAAAGTTATCGCATTACGAGAGCCCATGATGCAAGATTGGACAGTACGTTCAATTATTTGGGGCGCTCGAGATGCTTATTTGGGGCGCTCATGAAATTGCATTCGGGGCGCTCGTGTTGTACTTGGGCGCCGGTAAAAATCTCTGGGGCGCTCATGCATGGGGCGTTCTGGCTTTGGGGCGAAACGACAGTAACCCTGTGATATTTATATCCAAGATAAATATTTTCATTTTTTGCATAATGATTGTAAATTTATATCCCATTTGGGATATTATATCCCAAACGGGCTATTATATCCCATTTGGGCGATAGGTCCTAACCTGTTAAAACAATTTCAGGGATCGAAATAAACCCATTTTGATTCTAACAAATTTTAGCAAGTGGAAAAACTTGAGGTTTCACTAGCATTTTTCCGTTTCATGTAAATTATTATAATAATAAATTCCTCCCTTATATTTAGGAATCTACAGTATGCAGTAAATTTTTTTTCATATTAAAGCCTTAATCATAAGTGGTGTTCATTATGTTGAACAGTTTTTATATTTTGTGCCTTTTCAATAGTTTGTTGTGTCTTGTAAATCACTAGACTTTCGACAGTTATAGGTATATTGCTGGAAGTACCACATTTTTAAGCTACTTCATGTTGTCTGTATAGCATACTCTGATTAAAGTGTATCTATGATATATATGGCATATTATTTATAAATTAATCTATTTAAATTGCAGTATATAACTTTAAAAATACACACACTTATAAATTATCATGGTTGTAAACAGACAAACTGGTATTGAAACATTGGTAAGCAGGAGAAACACATTTTCAGTAGCGATCATTGTGCTAGGAAAGATGAAACATTCAGTATGTTACAAAGCTGCAAAGTTGATATTTAAAAATGAAAGATAGAGGCTTTCTAGAATGTAGAATGAGTGTTTACTTAAATTTTGCATTTTTGAATTCAGAATGACCTCTTCTGGAGTGAAATGGACTGCTATAGTCTTAACAACAGCCAGCAAAGAGTGGACATATGCTTTTCAGAAGGGTAAGCATGGATGTCTTTATAACAATTGTAAGCAGTCTGCATCCCCATGCAGATCTCCAAATGTTAATTATTGTATTTTAGGATAATACTTTGCAATGGGGATTGATTTGGATTTTTACTATAAATTTGATATTTTCTAACAATATTATGAATTATTGTTAAAATGAATTGATTCAGCGGTAGGATTTAGTAGAAATGTGATTTTTTTAAAACAGAGTTGGAGCTGCGACAAGCTAAAGGTTACATAGCTAAAGATGTAATTGTACTCACTGTGGAGGATCCAAAAACTAATGTAGGGAGTGGAGGTGCTACTGTCAATGCTCTACTGACCATAACAGAATACATAAGTGCTCAAAAGGGTCATTCAGTGAGTGAATCAGGTGGTTTATTAGCTCACCTGAGCTGAAAGCTCAAGTGAGCTTTTATGATCACATTTTGTCCAGCGTCCGTCTGTCCGTCTGTAAACTTTTCACATTTTCGAGTTCTTCTCCAGAACCACATGGTCAATTTCAACCAAACTTGCTACAAAGCATCCTTGGGTAAAGAGGATTCAAGTTTGTTCAAATGAAGGGCCACGCTGTCTATCAAGGGGAGATAATTAAGAATTAGGGAAAATTTGTTGGCATCATTTAAAAATCTTCTCAAGATCCACTGGGCCAGAAAAGTTGAAACTTAGGTGAAGCTTTTATTGTGTAGTGTAGATTCAAGTTTGTTCAAATCATGGCCCCCAGAGTAGGGTGGGGCCACAATGGACGATCAAATTTTTACATAGGAACATATAGTAAAAAATCTTTAAAAATCTTCTTCTCAAGAACAGCAAAGCCCTGATTAGTCAGATTGATAAAGAATACATGCTCAGGTAGTGTAATTTCAAGTTTGTTCAAATCATGACCCCAGAGGGTAGGATGGGGCCACAATGGGGGAACAAAGTTTTACCTAGGAATATATAGGAAAAAATCTTTAAAAATTTTCTTCTGAAGAACCACTGTGCCAGAAAAGTTGAAATTTATCTTAAACCTTTATTACATAGTGTAGAATCAAGTTTCTTTAAATCATGACCCCTGGGGGTAGGGTGGGGCCACAATGGGGGAACAAAGTTTTACATAGATATATATAGGAAAAAAATCTTTAAAAATATTCTTTACAAGAACAGCAAAGCCATGATTGGTCATATTGATATGGAAGCATCCTCAGATTGTGAAGATTTAAGTTTATTCAAATCATGACCCCCAGGGATAGGGTGGGGCAACAATGGATGATCAAGGTTTTGCATTGGAATACAGTAAAACTCATTTAGTACGAACACAGATATAGCGAATTCACGGATATAATAAAGTATAACAAAGTTTTTTTGAGATCCCCGGCAAAATTCTCAATCAATCCTTGTAAAATTTTATGGTTATAACGAACACGGATATAACGAATTTATGGATATAGCGAATTGATTTTGTATCCCTTAGAAGTTAAAAATAATGCAAAGTACATCTTTTATACCAAATTTTTAAAATCAAAATATTTAAAGTATTGAATTGACATTATTTTTCATGAGTATTTATGTTTGATATTAGATTCATTTAAAATCTTTAATTCTTTAAGAATTTCTTTTGTATATAATTCTTCCCTGAACATAGTCGTCAGTCATACATAAAGGAAAATGTGTATTGTGAATTCGCTATATATAATTCAATGAATTCATTATACTGATATAACAAATTACAGATATAGTGAAGTAAATTCAAAGGTCCCCAGGACTTCGCTATAACCCGAGTTTTACTGTACATAGGAAAAATCTTCTTCTCAAGAACAGCAAAGCCATGATTGGTCATATTTATATAGAAGCATCTTCAGGCAATGAAGATTCAGGTTTGTTCAAATCATGACCTTGGGGGTAGGGTGGGGCCACAATGGACAATCAAAGTTTTACATAGGAATACATTGGAAAAATCTTTAAAAATCTTCTTCTCAAGAACAGCAAAGCCAGGATTGGTCATATTTATATGGAAGCATCCTCAGGTAGTGTAGATTCAGATTTGTTCAAATCATGACATGGGGGGGGGGGGGGGCAATGGATAATCAGAGTTTTACATGGGAATACATGTACATTCTAGGAAAAATCTTCTTCCCAAGAACATCAAAGCAATGATTGGTCATATTGATATGGAAGTATCCTCAAGTGGTGTAGATTCAAGTTTGTTTAAATCAAAACCCCCCCTCCCCTCCTTTAGGGGTAGGTTGGTACCACTTGTGTATTTAAACTTTTCAATACTGAACTGATTTCTTTCAATACTGAACTGATTTCTGCTTTTTTCCTAGCCAGCCACAGTGCTTAGGTGAGTGATGTGGCCCATGGGCCTCTTGTTGTGATCTGTGCTAATACTGGATAAAACAATTGCAATTGATTGAACACAAAAATTGACAACTTATTTACTAGAGTTGTCAAATCAATCAATTTTTTGTAACCAGTTACTTGCATGTCTTTCCGATCAAGTGCTTGAGTACTCAGTCATGATTCAAGAAAAAAATTCGAACTTTAAACTTATATCTGTATATCTTTTAATTTCAGGTATATTATACATGAAATTAGAATGTGCTTGACAAATAATGCAGAAAATGAAGAAATATTGCATGGTTTATTTTTTTCCAAGTACCTGAATACCGATTTTAGTATTTGATATTTGGACCTCTGGATGAGTACTCGAATAATTGGTTACTTGTTTGCAACCCTTATACTTACTATAAAGCATTCTTCAAATGGGATACTTTTTTTTCAGGGAAAGAGTTAAATTGCCACTTTTTCCACAGAGAGAGAGAGAGAGAAAGAGAGAAGAGAGAGAGAGAGAGAATTAAGCATTTAAAAGTAAAAAAGGGGATTTAACAGCCCAATAGTAGATGGAATCCATTGGTTAAAAATATCAGAACTTGTGAGTAAACTTTATGTATGGTAGATAGATGTCAAAACTCTAAAAGGTGGGGGGGGGGGGGGGGGGGCAACAGTTGAGACTCTGAGAAAAAACCTTAAATACTGGAATTAAGGAATATTCTGTGTTTCCAGAATTTTGCTGATTTTTTTTTATTAAGATGAAGTACCTTGCTCAAAAAACAGTAAGCAAATTTTGATTGAAATACACGTAGGTCATTTTCTGTCCTAAGTTACAAGCTTTTATGATTTTTATTGTGTACATTAAGCTGTATTTTTGTGTGATAAAGACAAAAATGTGTTTCTTAGAGAACTTTTAACAAATGTTTTGGGAAACTTGCAAATATTTTAAATATTTAACATGCAACCAATAGTATGACTCCAGACTCTCTGAGATTAATTCACAACTACTTTTGAAATTAGAGTTATTGATCTTCTATCATATGTTAAGCAAGAGAGTGTCCTAGCTGGCTTAATTGCACTGTGCTATAAGGTCTAACTTGAAAATGGCACACTAGTAAAAACTGGGTTTTCTAGTAGTATATACTATCTTGACTGGCATGAATTTGTGGCTTTCCAATAAAGCCTACTTCTTTACTTTTATTAATCTTTGTAAACCCTATTTACTTTAGGTGATCAGTGCAGAAGTTTTGGAGGAATCCTGGGTATTAATATTACACAGTGTAAGTTTTAGAATGGATACATTCATGATTTTAAGGAGTATATTGTACTACAAACCTATTGCCACATTCATAATGAGTCCATTGTACTAGAAACCTTTCGACACATTCAAAATGTCAATTTTATCAGTATCTTACATACATCAATATGTTAAAAACGTCATAGTTACCACATAATTTAGCTTCATTTTGAAAAAAATGTCAAGAATCTCTAAGCTTAATTCCTTAGTTACCAATCCCACTGTCAAATATCAGACGTCACAAAAATACATATACATGTATGTCAATTTTTAAAATTTTTTGATAGGGTCGGCACTACCCGTATGACCAGTGTGGGCGGACATTTGTGACCCTCCCTGCTGAGTATGTGACCCCTGAATATGATGGACTGATCTGTAACATTGATATACTCATCAGAAACATAACGGAAAAGGCAAGGAATTACACCATCCTATTACATATATGTAATCATTGTAGAACAATGTTTGAAAATTGAATAGGCTGTTGATTTTGTTTCTCCCTCAATTTACCAATGTCATTTATTGGGTGCCTCTTTTTATTAGCTAAGTGTACAAAAGTGTATCAAGAATCTTGCCCCAGAACATTTCCAGAACTAATTTATCTGGCACTCTTGTTGTAGCTGGCAGCAAAGTCAGGACCTGGACTATGGGTTAGCAGTACAGATATGTTCCTTTCATTCCCTAAAGATTGTGGTTAGTATCACTCACAACTCTCATCATTCTTGGAAATTTTCATTATTTCTGTGAATTTTTCAGACACACAATCAACTGTATTATTTTCTCTTATTTGCATACCATATTTTTGGGATGGATGATGCTCTGTATTGAGGATTTTTATTGTTAGGGAAGGGAATATTATATTTATAAAACATCAATTTCTAATCAAGAAATAAGGTATCATTTTTAAACTTTTATCAGGATATAAATACAACTTTGTCACATGGTCAAATCCAATAAAATCCTTTCAATCTCATAAATCCCAGAAGGCTTTATGGTAGATTTGATAATGTACCAACCCCTTTTTATATCCTGATAAAAGTTTAAAAATGATATTATTTATATATGTATTGACATTTGTGACTGATTTATAACAAATATTTGTGTACTATAGTTTTAAACCCATAAAATGATTTATTTTTTCAAATCTCAGCAGTATAAATTAAATATGAATGTCATCCACTTGTGATGTCATTGTGGAATTATGTCGATCGTTTATGACCTGAGGGAGCCTTACTGGAATTTTATTGTGTGAAAAACTCCTTAATTTTATATCATAGGTAACTTACATTGACTTGTGTACATTCCAAATTTAGGAAAATCTATCGTCTAGGTATTTTTTTGGGACAATCTCAAAATACAAGTACATTAATTTTATTGTAGGATTTTATGGGAAAAAGCTAATTTTTCGCACTTCAAAGCAAATTTTACAAATCCCACAATAGACATTTTGCTCCAGTTATAATATACCATGAGTAATACTATATTGTATGAAAGAAACACAAAATTCTATTGTCTGGTTTCCAGAGGGGGCATGTCCAAATGTAAAAATTTACAAAAAGAATGAGTGGAATTGACACCCTATTTTGGGTCTTTTTGCAATCCCTCTACCAAGCTGTAAATGAAGTGAATCCAAAATATATTACAAGCAATAGAAAAAGTTACGTATACATGGTTATATTAGGTAGAACATCTGTACAAAAGCAATGCCCTGTTGCCATCAATCAAAATTGAAGCAAGGATACATTAGTGTCGCCATCCAGAATTTGACGTGCCTGGAGTGGTTTTTATGTCACTAAATCAATAGTAATCGGAGACGGGGCTCTAGATTGGCATCAGTGTTGACATTTCTCTCTCTCTCTCTCTCTATAGAAATTTGAATATGCGAATTGTACATTTCAGCGATGTCAATATGAAATTTAAATATTTCTCTGGTGAATTAATATTGTAAGGACACACAAAACTATAACATTTAATTTGCTAAATTCTGAAAATGGAAGACCAACCAAACATGCTCTAAGATGTGATTTAGATTGAGGTCATGTTTAATAATACTGTACAATGAAATTATTTTCACAAGTACACTCGCAGCTGGACACCAGTGATGAACTGTAATATTCAACAGGTCAATCAAAATCAAATCAAGGTTAACACAGTCATAACAGTGGAAGCGAGAAGTTGTTTTGAACATGTTTTTTGTAAAATTAAGTAGGAGCACATGTTTGTTAGCTCATCTCCTTTTAATATGACATTATTTTGTTCAATATACATGCAACTACAGTTTTCTTAAGAACAGCTGACAAACATGCTCATGATCATGCTCATGATGAAAAAAGTGTGACACTGATTATCTTTTGATATAGACCCTTTTCCTATGACACATTTTGCTTAGGAGTTATTCCCCTTAGCCGCCATCTTGTATGGCAAAGCAGTGAATTTACCTCTTTGAGCAACCAATTTTAAACATGCATTCAAGAAAAATATGGGGGAAAATATTTACAATCTTATTATCATGAATTAATAGAGGATATAACAAATGTGTATTCATAAGAAAAATAGTGTTATCTTTACCTCAGTAACCAGTATAAGAAATTGAACTTGGTTGAATAATGAAGGGATCTGGGAATGTTGCCCTACAATATGGCGGCTAAGGGAAATAACTCCTAGGCAAAATATGTCATAGGAAAAGGGTCTATTCAAGAAATCTTCTGGCCCCATGCCTTTGATATTTGTTTGGTTTTACTTGTAAAGGGTATTTTAAATTCATATCTGTAGCAAGAATACACGAATAGACAGTTATCGCAAGATATCACTGATTTATATTATGGAAAGTAATGAACATTTTATAAAACTTTAATTTATGTTTTTTTTCAGGACTCTTAAGTCCATCTATTCTTTCCTGTCTTCATGGAGTACTAAAAATATGACAGATACTAATAATATATATAAATGAAAAATTTTTTAACAAAATTGTCAGATTTTTAAATGACTGTGTTTAAAATTTAAAGGGCATATATTTGATACTTTTTCTTAATTGCATTTGTTAGACCCCCTCTTAAAGAACTTCCCTTTATCGTAACATCACAAACACACTATTACGACGTCCATCTACCTATAGGTCTGAAAAATCATTAAAGAATCAGTTCTTTAAAATTGTAATTAGAAATTTTAACCTGTGATTACTTAATTTCATTATATTTGATAAATTATATGAAAATAGTTGCTTTAAAAGCATAAATATGCTTAATTTTACTATGCTGTGCAAAGTATTGTGCAATGAAAACCCCAGTCGGCCCCCTTAACAATGAAATTGTGGTTATGTGACGAATCTGTTTTTATACAGATTTAAATACGTATTGTTCAAATAGTATTATGTTGGGAGAAATATGTGCAAATGTAAATCTTTCAGGCTTTTTCTTCATTGATTTTTTACTAAATTAACAATGTTAAGGTCAAAAGTCAAGGTTATTCATACACCAATTTTTGACTTGCAGTAAGGGGCCTATATATGTCATTTGAATATTTTAAAGTTAATGATTATATTTGATTTTTACCATATTTTAATAATGCCTATTTTATTATTATGATGTAATTGTTGTGGTATTCATTCCTATAGATATTCAGTGGAAGAGTTGTGATGCGTGTGCTATCACTGTCCCTGCTACACCACAGTACTGTAAACATCATGGCGTCTATAAGATTGATAAAGAGGTAAAGCACAAAAATACAGTACTGTAAACATCATGCAGTCTATAAGATTGATAAAGAGGTAATTGGTACAAAATACATAACTGTAAACATCACGGAGTCTATAAGATTGATAAAGAGGTAAAGCACAAAATACAGAACTGTAAACAACATGTAGTCTATGAGATTGATAAAGAGGCAAAACACAAAATACAGTACTGTAAACATTAAGGAGCCCATAAGATTGATAGATAAAACACAAAATACACTACTGTAAACATTAAGGAGCCCATAAGATTGATAGAGAAGTAAAACACAAAATACAGTACTGTAAACATCACAGAGTCTATAAGATTGATAGAGAAGTAAAACACAAAATACACTACTGTAAACATTAAGAAGCCCATAAGATTGATAGAGAAGTAAAACACAAAATACAGTACTGTAAACATCACAGTCTATAAGATTGATAGAGAAGTAAAACACAAAATACACTACTGTAAACATCACAGAGTCTATAAGATTGATAGAGAAGTAAAACACAAAATACACTACTGTAAACATTAAGGAGCCCATAAGATTGATAGGTAAAACACAAAATACACTACTGTAAACATTAAGGAGCCCATAAGATTGATAGGTAAAACACAAAATACACTACTGTAAACATTAAGGAGCCCATAAGATTGATAAGTAAAACACAAAATACACTACTGTAAACATTAAGGAGCCCATAAGATTGATAGAGAAGTAAAACACAAAATACACTACTGTAAACATCACAGTCTATAAGATTGATAGAGAAGTAAAACACAAAATACACTACTGTAAACATCACAGAGTCTATAAGATTGATAGAGAAGTAAAACACAAAATACAGTATTGTAAACATCATGTAGTCTTTAAGATTGAAAGAGTCTATAGGATTGATGAAGGGGTAAAATGTAAAATAAATATATAGTCTCTAGCATTCAGTTGTGCCTAGTTGTATATCATGTCTGCTGATATTGTGCACAGGGGCTTATTGTAAAAAAGAAAGTAAAAAAGTGTTAAAAAAAAAAAGAAGTATTTATTAAGAAAATCATAAACCAACTACACTATATAATAGTTGGTAAATGATTTTTTTTGAATAAATATTTTTTAAACTCCAGGAGCAAACCCCTGTGTAATGTGTGTGTGTGTATGCTTAGTATACTTTTGTGAGATTTTACTCTGAATTTTATTTATAATAGAAAAGAAATATTCACTATTTCATTTATAGAGAAAAAATCTGCTTCAACATATTTTAGAAATATAGTCAAACCTCATTATCTCGAATTGGTGGGACAGAGAAAAAAACTTCAAAATATCCGAGAATTTGAGATATCGGGAAAAAATACTTAAAGAATAAGTGGTTGGGACTTCCAACTAACTTCTACATATCCATGGTATTTGAGATATCAGTGTTTGAGATACCAAAGTTCAACTGTAGTGTTAATCAATTGTGGATACTTAAAAAAAAAATCCTAAAATTTAGCAAACTTTATTGCTCAAAACTTTTTTTGAAAATCTCTATTCCACACTTTATGCACCCAAATCTGTGATAAATAGAAAAAGAAACGACCAGTATTTATATTATGAATGACTGCCTCTCATTGAACATAAGGACTCTGAAATGAACATCTCTTGTGATTCATTATCCAGAAAACTATTTGGTAAAATGATTCTGATTCTTTGCACACATTTTCTGAAGAAGAAATTAAGAAAATGCTGGAATTTCTGATTTACAATATCTACATGTTTGTAATCTTTGGAGATCACTTTTTCCAATATTCTGTTGGAATTTCCATGGGGATAAATGAAAGTTTTCTTCATTTTCATTTAGATGTAAAGGACAATAAGTTTTAAGAATGTAGGAGTCATCGTTTGAGAGTCATTTAAAACTTCAAATACAAGTAGTTACACAATGGACATAGAGTATGAAATATTGCAAATATATAATAGAAATATTTTTTCAAGGAATTTAAAGAAGTTTATCATTAATAATGATTTGATATAAAATTAGCAGGTAATGGGAAGTTAATTTACCAACATTTGGCTTGGGTTTGAGTCATATGGATTACAATCGTATGGGCTGTGTACGTAAGCATATTGCTGGCACCTCTGGTTAACCATATATATGGCTGCTGCATTTGTGGAAGATCTCGCAATTCTTTTACAGTTTGGTTTAGATCTATAACTTTTCTTAAAGCTTGAAAGGATATCAACAATTAATTGTCAAATTATTGATTCATATAAGTCAATGAAAAAGTGGGTGTGACCGTGACTGAATATTATGCAATTCATGTGATCTGAGGGCTCAGAGAGCTTATTTGAAAATGGACCATATTCCAAGAACCCCTTGACTAATATTTGTCAAATGACACTGTTAAAAAATTTTTTGTCAAATTTGTGACAGTGTTATTAAGAAAAGAGGAGTGACTCTTACATTTAGACTGAGGAGATAAAATTGAGAGTAATAAACAAAAGTAGTGGTTCCTTAAAAACCTTCTGCTCAAATACCAATGATTAAAATTTCACCAAAATCCCACATAAGTATAAAGTACGGTAAGTTGAAAATAGATATTCCTTAAAGACATCACCCTGGGGCTCGGGGTTTGATCTCAAAGAATTTTTAACTTCAGAATAGGTCATGATTTATTATATGCACACTATTATATGTATACTATGTACACTAACTAGAAAAAAATATGATGTGAAATTTGCCTTACTTATAGATAACACTTGTCAAAGTGAGCTTTGTAATCTTTGATTACCTATGATTTTTTGTCTTATAAATTCTCAGTCCTCTTAATTGAAATGTGATGTATTTTTAGGTCACATGAGTTTACTCAGGTGACCTATTGCTAGATCTGTTTGTGTCCGTCGTGCGTTAACATTTGAACATTTTCAGCTTCTTCTCTGGAACCACTGAACCAATTTCAACCAAATTTGGCATATAGCATCTGTGGGTGCAGGGGAGTAAATATTGTGAAATTCATGACCCCTACCCCCCTGGTGCCAGAGGGATAGGGCTAAAACTATCAAAATTAATGCAATCTTTAAAAATCTTCTTCTTTACTCCTGGACATCAAGCAGTCAAACTGTTGGCATGATTGTAATAAGCATTTAGGCCTCTACCAAAATTGTGAAATTCATGGCCCCAGGGGCAGGGGTTCTGGTGCTAGGGTGGGGCTATATAGGTCATATAGTGAAAGTGCATTATTTCTTTGAAAATCTTCTCTGCTCCTAGGTATTAAATAAAATTACTAAGTACAAAGTTATGAAGAGCAAGAGTGCCTCTTCCAAAATTGTGAATTTCATGGGCCTAGGGTGAGGGGTCCTGGTGTTAGGGTGGGGCTCTATTGATTATATAGTGAAAATGCATCAATTCTTTGAAAATCTTCTTCTCTGCTCCTGGGTATTAAATAAAGTAACTAAGTACATAGTTATGATGAGCAAGAGTGCCTCTTCCAAAATTGTGAATTTCATGGCCCCAGGGTGAGGGGTCCTGGTGGTAGGATGGGGTTCTATTGATTTTATAGTGAAAATGCAATAATTCTTTGAAAATCATCTTCTCTGCTCCTGGGTATTAAATAAAGTAACTACGAACATAGTTATGCTGAGCATGGTTGCCTTTTCAGAAATTGTGACTTTCATAGCCCCTGGATCAGGGGTTCTGGGTAAGGGGGAGGGACTTTAATGATTGCATAGTAAAAATGCAATAATTTTTTGACAATCTTCTCCTTTTCTTCTGTGTATTAAGCCAATGAACTACGAGTATAGTAATGATGAGTAAGGGTGCCTCTTCCAAGATTGTGAAATTCATGGCCCCAGGGTCAGGGGTTCTGGTGTTAGGGCAGGGCTCTGTTGAATATGTAGTGAAAATGCATTATTTCTTTAAAAATCTTCTTTGAACTGGGGTATTTAGCAAACAAACTGAATGCACAGTTATGATGAGTAAGGATGTCTCTTCCAAAATTGTGAATTTCATGGCCCCTTGGTCAGGGTTCTGGTGTTAGGGCTGGGCTCTAATGATTACATTGTAAAAAATGCAATAATTCTTTGAAAATCTTCTCCTTTTCTCCTGGGTATTAAGCTGATGAACTAAGAGTATAGTTATGATATGTAAGAGTGCCTCTTCCAAAATTGTGAATTTTATGTCCCCTGGTTCAAGGTTCTGGTGTTAGGGCAGGGCTCTGGTGTTAGGGCAGGGCTCATGGCAAAGTTGATACATGATACTCAGGTGACCTATAAGGCCCGTGGGCCTCTTGTTTAGCTCACTGGAGCCGAAAGGCTCAAATGAGCTTTTCTGATCACAGTTTGTCCAGCGTCCATCTGTCTGTCCATCCGTCTGTCTGTCTGTAAACTTTTCACATTTTCGACTTCTTCTCAAGAACCACTTGGCCAGTTTCAACCAAACTTGCCACAAAGTACCCTTTGGTGAAGGGGATTCAAGTTTTTTCAAATGAAAGGCCACACAGTCTTTCAAGGGGAGATAATTATGAATTAGTGAAAAATTAATGACATCTTTTAAAAATCTTCTCAAGAATCACTTGGCCAGGAAATCTGAAACTTATGTGGAAACATCCTCAGGTAGTATAGATTCACGTTTGTTCAAATCATGATCCCAGGGGGTAGGGTAAGGCCACAATGGGCTATTGAGGTTTTACATAGGAATACATAGGAAAATTCTTTAAAAATCTTCTCAAGAACAGCAAAGCCATGATTGATCATATTTTAATGGATGCTTCCTTGGTTAGTGTAGATTCAAATATGTTCAAATCATGACCCCTGGAGGTAGGGTGGGGCCACAATGGCAATTCAAGTTTTACATAGGAATACGTAGGAAAAATCTTTTAAAATCTTCTTCTCAAGAACAACAAAGCCATGATTGGTCATATAGATATGGAAACATCCTCAGGTAGTGTTGATTCAAGTTTGTTCAAATCATGACCCCCAGGGGTAAGGTGGAGCCACGATGAGTTTCAAAATTTTACAAAGGAATATATAGGAAAAATCTTTAAAAAATCTTCTTCTCAAGAATAGTAAAGCCATGAGAAATCATACAGAAGCATTCTAAGGTAGTGTAGATATACCGGTAATTTATCAAAATCATGACCCCTGAGGTAAGGGTGGTGCCCACAATAGAAAATCAATTTCGTATAGGGAAAAAATCTTTAAAAATCTTCAAAAGCCATGATTAATCAAAGAAATATGAAAGCATCCTCAGTATTGAAAAAAAAGTATGCCCCCCCCCCCCCTTTCTGAGAGTAGGTTTGGGCCAATTATATATTTAAACTTTTCAATACTGAACTGATTTCTGCTTTACCGAACAAAAGTGCTCAGGTGAGGGATGTTGCCCATATTAAATATATTTGTGTGTTTTATTTATTATCTGGATTTAGTGCCTGTGAAATTTGAGGGAATTTTTGCATTTCTAAAATTCTAAGTGAGGAACTTTTTACAACTGGAGACACCCCCTCTCCAAATAATAAAATAAATTATATTTTTTATCCCCTCCCAATAAAGTGTAATTTTGGAATCAATATGTTCTCTTGCATGGGGATGCTCCACTTTGCGATACCTTTGTTTCACATTATAATTTAGTCTTTTTCTGAAATTTTCAGGGATATGTGGAAAATATTCTGTATCAGAAGGATGTAGGCAGTTTGGAAGATTGTGAAATTAAGGGAGGAAAGGTTCCAGTGGTGAGTCATAGTATCTCGGTTAAAACTAATTAATAACAATAATTAACACATCCAATCTTGTGTAACTTGAAAAAAAATATTACCTGGTACATGAAAAAGGAGTGGTGAAGAACATAAGTAAATGAAAGACCCAACCTTTTGCTCAGCTCAAGGGCTATAATTGTGTTTATCCTGCCTCTGATAAAAATCTTGAAACTTCACTGGTCGAGAAGAATACTGTATTAAACCATATTACGCTGCCTACCGACATTTTATTGTTAATGTACCTCCTCTACGTGACCTACCCACCGCACATCAAATCAGTATGCCCCCTCCATGTGCCATACTGTCCAGTCACATTCAATATGTTGTTTTCATTTGAACATGCAAGGAGCCTAATAACTGATGTCACATTTAAGCATCAAACAATGTCACAATGTAAATTATTGTTATGAAATAGTTTGCTTAACTGAGAAAAAATAAACTTTTAAAAAAATCTTTGACAGGATAAATTCCTTATGTAGGCACTTAGAGGGATAATACGGAAATATATGGGGTCCTTGAAAAATGCATATTGGGCTTGGCTCACACCTCACCCAGTATGCATTTTTTCAAAGAACCCATATATTTTCTTATTATACCTCATTATAATTATTGTACACAACGCGTTATCTGATTGGTTCTAGATTATCACATGATCGGGCCATAAAACTTCATATTTCATGGTCATCGGCATGCTTTTCATCATATCCCCCCTCTTCGGATACCTAGTGCATTTTCCCGCAATAGTTATCGTTTGTTGAAAGAAAACTCCTAAGAGTAGTAGACGTCACAATAGCCTGGTTTATGTCACAAAATTGATGATTAGTGATGTGTCAAAGGGTTTCAGTAACTTTACGTTAAAAATAAAAGTGAATTTGAGAGCGGTGCCGAATTTGAAAGTTTATGTTTATTTCAAAGTTTTTGCTTGTTTCTGTATAATAAACAATTCATTGCATGAATGTTCGGGAAACATGAAGATTTATTCAGCCAAGAAATATCATATTCCCCTCGGGGAATATGATATTTCTTGGCTGAATAAATCTTCATATTTCCCTCACTATCATGCAATAAATGTATAATATTACCCTTCTAAGTGTCTACATAACTAATAATGTCTGATTAGCTAGAAAGTATTGCTTTGAAACATAATTATTCCATATAGAGTTGAGCTTGTGTATCTTCATTTTTTCTTTAACAATCAGAAAGCATTAAATGAAAATACAGCCAAATCTTGTTATCTCGAACTCAATGGGACTGAGAAAAAACTTTGAGATATCCAAGGATTCGAGATATCCAGCTTAAAATACTTAAAGAATAAGGGGTTGGGACTTCCAAATCACATCGACATATCCATGGTATTCGAGATATCAGTGTATGAGATACCGAAGTTCAACTGTAATTTTTTTAGGTTGACAAAAGTTGTATATTTGACTTACTAGTAGAAATGTATCACAATCTTTGTATGTGGTTTAAACATATGTTTTTACATACACTCAGTAAGGTATATATCAGGTCTGTTTTTTTCTGCAGGTGTGTTCTGTGGTGTTCTTTAATCACATTATTGCTCAGAAGTTACTGGCCTTCCATGTCAAGCCACCACTAGATGCCTGTACATATATGGGTTTGGACAGCGGAGAACCCCCAATACAGGTACGTCATAGATAATCAGTGTACCGTTACAGACTGGAGAACCCCCATATAGGTAAGTCATAGATGTACAGTGTACTAACACAGACTAGAGAACCCCCTATACAGGTACATCATAGATATACAGTGTACCATTACAGACGGGGGAACCCCCCAGGGGCGTAGCTTCCATTGTGGCAATGAGGCAACTGCCTCACTAGATTTTTTCAGCACATCCGCCTTAAACAAATCTATAAAATGTTGTACTTTCATATCAATATGTTCTGGATCAAAATTCATGAGATCGGGCTCTTTCAAAGTAGTTTATGTGGAAAAAATAAAAACCTTAGAAGTTTGAATAAAGAATTTTATGCACTCTACTAAATACTTTTGAAATATGAAGTATCATATGTACGCTGAAGTCTTCAATAATGAAACCAGTAAAATTACGAAATTTCTGTCCAGGACAAGTATGTTTTTTACATTCAACACTCCCAAATTCATTTTCCGTCGGGGGGTTTTGCCCCTCCCCCCCCCCCCCCCCCCCCCCCCGAACCTCCCACCAGGGCTCCGCCCTGGACCGGCCCCCAGACCCCCGGCCACAATAGTTGTGCCTCACTAGAATTTTAAGTCAAGCTACGCCCCTGCCCCCTATATAGGTAAGTCATAGATGTACAGTGTACTAACACAGACTAGAGAACCCCCTATACAGGTACGTCATAGATAATCAGTGTACCGTTACAGACTGGAGAACCCCCATATAGGTAAGTCATAGATGTACAGTGTACTAACACAGACTAGAGAACCCCCAATACAGGTACGTCATAGATATACAGTGTACCATTACAGACTGGAGAACCCCCATATAGGTAAGTCATAGATGTACAGTGTACTAACACAGACTAGAGAACCCCCTATACAGGTACGTCATAGATAATCAGTGTACCGTTACAGACTGGAGAACCCCCATATAGGTAAGTCATAGATGTACAGTGTACTAACACAGACTAGAGAACCCCCAATACAGGTACGTCATAGATAATCAGTGTACCATTACAGACTGGAGAACCCCCATATAGGTAAGTCATAGATGTACAGTGTACTAACACAGACTAGAGAACCCCCTATACAGGTACGTCATAGATATACTGTGTACCATTACAGACGGGGGAACCCCCATATAGGTAAGTCATAGATATACAGTGTACCAACACAGGCTAGGGAACCCCCTATACAGGTACGTCATAGATATACAGTGTACCTTTACAGAAGGGGGAACCCCCTATACAGGTAAGTCATAGATGTACACCAACACAGACTGGAGAACTCCTTATACAGATAAGTCATAGATGTACACCAACACAGACTGGAGAACCCCCTATACAGATAAGTCATAGATGTACACCAACACAGACTGGGGAACCCCCTATACAGTAAGTCATAGATGTACACCAACACAGACTGGAGAACCCCCTATACAGTAAGTCATAGATGTACACCAACACAGACTGGAGAACCCCCTATACAGATAAGTCATAGATGTGGACAACATGGACTACATAGAAGTACTAAAAAATGCTCGTCTTCTTTTAACAGAATAAAGCCAGACCAGATAAATTAACTGAAATATTATGGCACGGACACCATATACAGTGAAATCTGTTATGATTTTCAGTAATGATTTGGTGCCTGTTTAAAAAATGTAGAATTATTGGAAACTGGTGTTATTTCCCTTTTTTCTTTGTGAAACATCCCAGATGCAAATAATTTTCCCAAAACTATTGTTAATAATATGTATAGTAAATTAAAATGATAAAATATAATGCAATAAAATTATGACATTATTTTTGGGAGAAAAATGTTGCACAGGATTTACCAATAATATAAATGAGAAAAAAATTTGATTCATTATTCTTAATTTTCAGTTGTCTTTGTTCTTTGATGTCATGTTACCAATGGCAACAGGAGTTACAGAGATGGACTTTGTCAATGGAAAATGGAGTAGAAGTGGCACACCTGATGACCTTGACACTCAGAGAAGGATGAAGAAGGCAAGGTCATTGCTGTGGAAGGAACTGGGAGAATATAAAATGTGGGCATGTAAGTACAGTAAAACTAGGTTATGAGAAGTTCTGGGGACCTGTGAATTTAATTTTCTACATCTGTTATTTGTATAACAAATTCCTGAAAGAATACATAGCGAATTCACAAGATTTTTTCATTCAAGTATGAACACAAATGTATTTGGGGAAGTATAAAATACAACATATGCCTTGGAGTTCTAAAGTTTTCAGATGAATTGAGTTTCAAATATAAAAACTTACAAAATTAATGTTAGTTCAATATTTCAAAAAATTTAGATCTTTGAAAATTTGCTATAAAAGATGTAAATTTTGTTATTTTTAACTTCTAGGGGACACAAAATCAGTTCACTATAACCATAAATTTTGCTATATTCCAGTTCATTATATCTGTAAATTTTTACAAGTATCTGTTAAGAATTTTGCCAGGCATTGCAAAAAACATTGCTATATCCTTAAATTCACTATATCCGTGTTTATACTAAATGAATTTTACTGTATTTTCTACAACTATTTCATGAAAGTAAGATTTAGTCACCAAAGAAAATTCATGTAACTGAGAAGGGTAAATAAATCTTTGGAAGCCCAAAACGTTTATAAAATACTGAAATAAATATTATTTTTGAGAATTTTTTTTGCACAAAACTTCACGAGGTTATGATTAATACACAAAGTAAATTAGTTATAAGTAATACTAAGAGGTAAATCTTCTTTATTTATTTGTTAAGAATAAAATGTAAGAACTATTTTAAGATTCATCACCCTTTTCTTCCTCTACAGAATTTTGATTTAATACTAATCCTTTTCTATAAAAAAAAAAAATTGAATTTAGGATTAAATACACAAATTTTAGCATTGACAAACTTACAAATTTTATGAAGAAGTTTGTGTAATACTGTAAACCAACTATTATTCATGTCAACTTTTATTCGCTATTTGTCAGTTTGAAATCAAACTGCAATGATTAATTTTCACAACTGAGCAAACATTCTCTACAAATACAAAGCAAAATAAATGGTTTGTGGCTATTAATATTTGTGAGTTAAAGTAGGTCGCGAAATTCACGGATATTTCTCGCATATGAATAAAAGTTGGTTTACAGTAGTCATTTAGTAAGAGTTATCTCTCTTATCAGACAGTCAATGAACCTTAAAAAGTTAAACAAAAAAAAAATTCAAGTTCACATTAAAATTCAAATATGCATGCCCAATCAATCCAATATAATTGTGCTTTACATATAATATTACTCTGTAATTAATTTGTTATTTCCAAGATAATTATAGTTAAAATCATTCTATTAATAACAATGCATAAAGTAAAGTAATTCCTAAAAAATTAATTTCATACACAAGCTGACATCTGACTGTATCATTTTTTTGTCTTGAAAGTGCATGAATTTTTATGCCTCACCATGAATATGGCTGGGAATATAGTGGTTGTCATGTCCTTTGTCTGTCCCTCCATCTTTCCCTTTTTATCAAACTTCAATGCTGGTACATTTTGATGAAAACTATTCAACTGCATCAACATTTTTTGACTTTGATCTTCCTTTTGACCTTGACCTCACTTTTATTAAATTTGCAATTAGCTCAGTTTTGAAGAAAGTACTCAAGAATAATGTATTTATTAAATTCGTATGCTGATGTGTATTGGTGAGAGCTATTCAATTGCCATAAAATATTTTGACCTTGACCTTCTCTATGACTTGATCTTACTATTCTTAAAGTTTTGTTAGCTCAATTTCAAAGAAATTATTCAAGGTATTTTTATCACTGATACATACTGGTGAAAACTTATCAACTGTGTCCAATTTTTATTTTACCTTGACCTTCCTATGACCTTTGACTTCACTATTTGTCGTGTTTAAAACTCAGATTCAATGAAACTATTCAAGATATTTTTATGAACTTCATACATAAATACAAATTGTTGAGAGCTATTCAACTGTGTAATAATTTTCTTCCCTGTGACCTTGACCCCACTATTCCTCATTTACCCTAATCTTAAACAAAAAAGCAAGGTACATTTCTTTTCATGTTGCATTACTGATGAAACCTGGTAGGAGCACTTATGTCCTTATATCTTTTAACTGGTTTTGTGAAATGAACGGTTTTATTCATCTGTTTCATGGGATTTCATGACAGTCAAAAACACCAAGGAATTTATGAATGTCATGGAAATATAGAACACAGTGAAGAATCGGTCCAGTGTATATGCCAGCAGTTCCCAGTCATTCATTTTTCTAGTGTTAGCAGAATCATCTGTTTTTACATCTTCCTCATCATTTCTGTCATCTGATTTGTAGCTGTTATTTCTCATTTTTGGCAGAGTTCCCTCGGTTTCTGTGCATGTAGGTAGATGATTATCAAACACAGTGTTGAGTATAACGAAACTTTTATGGCTTTTTCTGCTTTTACTCAGCTCATCCCATGTGACACCTGGAGGCAACTGAACCTTGTCTCCATTTTTTGGTTGATATGTATGATATGGAAGGTTTCTTTCTTTGACCAACATTATTTTTCCCAGCCATTCTATGAAGATTATTCTTACCCACCTGTGCATTTTCTTTCCACTAAGGTCATTATAGTAAATATACATCACTACTGCAGACATGACACAGGACACACTGCTTAAAATCATACTGATGGAAAAGTAAATGGCAATTCTGGGGAAAGTTTCAGAGGTGGATGGGAACTGATCCTGTACCAGAAGCAAAAATACCACAAGGGCTAGCATTATTGTTGTGTGAAAGGAGATCTTCTCACCAGAGATGGAAGGAAGGGCAAAGCCAGCACAGGATATGATGGTGATGATGAAAAATGGGACTGCAATAGTGGCCATGAAAAATACCGGCCTTCTCCTCATTTTAATTGTGAAACTAACTTTTGAGAAGTTCCCTCCACAACATGGATAGTTTTCTATGGTATGTGAGACTGGTACTTCTTTAACAAGGAACTCCTGGCTGTCTAAGAAACTAGAAAGTTCCCCATACATTGATTCAGGTTCTAGAACAACATCATCAGAAATATAAATCCAGGGCATAAATGTTATTCCACACTTCTGAATGTCGTAAGGATAATATTTCAAGTCCATTGAACACGCGGTGGGCACCACTGTGGGAAAATTATAATGGACAGTTCCGTTGCTATAAACAAGTGCTCTGTATTCCTTCATGTCTGGCATGTTAGCAATATTATCCACACCCTCCAGAAGTGTTATGTCAGGAATCCATAAGTCATCATATGGAACCACAAGCCTTGAGATACCACAATATGTAGATGGGTCCCAAACCAGGTTACAGTCAAACCAAGTTAACCTGATCCATAGTCGGACCTTGACAATTTCTTGTTGTTCAAAGACATCCACAATTTCTCTCGGGGCTAGCTGGATGGACACATTTACTGGATAGCTGGTACACCTGGGAATTATTCTCTTGTCATAATTATCGAGCATATCTTTGTACATTTTTTCCCGCTTCTTATGGAAATCATTATTTTCTGTCAGACAACCTATTCTTCCATCAATACATCTAGATAACAGGAAAAATGTTAAGATAACTTTCACCATTTTGTTGGAGAAACCCATCTCTCTGCAGTTCTACAACATATGGCAGATAAATTTTAGAACATTAATTTTTATGAATGAAATTATTTTAATGGTCCTAAATAAAGATTCTCGCATTTTAAACCTTGAATTGCTTTCCTCTTCAGTTTATTAATGACATGTAGTGGGTAGCGAGACATCTGTAGAGTGCACTGTCAAGCACAGCCAGGTGGCAAAAAGGAAGTTTTCTGAAAAGCTGGTAATTTTAGACTTGTATGTTCTCATGAGTCAATAGTTTGGGTTCTCATGAGTCAATAGTTTGGGTAATTGTGTTTTAGGACTGGAATTTGAATTTAAATTGATAAATAATTTTTCCTCCAAAAACTTGCCAGTGTTTGGTTCTGTTTATTATTTTGCGTATAGTACTTCCTTATCATTAATTAGTTTCTCTGTAGTACAATTGTACCGGTACTTCCTAAATGTGCCATTTGTGGGAATTAAAGCTTGTTGAAAGAAGAGTCAATTTAAATATTTCATGGATATGAATTAATTCATATGATTGATTTTGAAATGATTTTAGAGATATTTAATAATGTGCTTTTAAAATTATTTTATTGTGCCTTCATTTGATTTGATTAAATAGTAATTCAATTTGATTGTCTATAATCTGCAGCAGATTTTTTTTTTTTTTGAAAATAAATCTGTTTTAGTGAATCAAATAGATTTCATGCATTTAGGATAAGAGAAATCCTAAAAAAAATGTTAGAATAATTGTGATAAATGTGCAATGCTACAAATTGAAAACAAATAGCATCTAGGCAGTATAATTTTGTAACAGAAATAAATTACTAAATACATTACACAAAATCAAAGTTCCTCTTAAAGTTATTATAATTTGAAGGTTAGGTAAAGTACTGCTATAAGGTAATGAGTATGATTTTGTGAATTTTCTTTAATAATTAAATACAAGCCTATGTTGTTAAATTGATAATGACTTGAGCATATATATTTGAATTCCATATTGAACTTAAATTTAAAAAAAAAAAAAAAAATTTAATTCAATGGCAATTGGATAATTTTTAGTAACTGGTTAGTTGTAAATTTTTCCAACAGAGTAACCAGTTAATCAAAGAGATAAGACTAGTTTGTAAATTATTCAATTAAGATATAAGATACCATTTTTAAAGTTTCATTGGGATATGACATGAAGTTGGTCATGTGATCAAATCCTATAATGCCCGAAGGGCATTATAGAAAATATGATCACATACCAACTTCATGTCATATCCCAGTGAAACTCTAACAAATGATATTTTATTTCTTACATTTATATTTTTATTTTTATTCGTCTTGCAATGAAAAATGCACTATTAAGACTTTGTTATAATAATGCAACATAACGTACATGTACGACGTCATATTTGCGGTTTGCTCTCCATGCTTTTATTTTGGCAATCTTTACAATTCTTTTAATAGTTTTGTGTTTTTTTTAGGCTTGGTAGAGTCTGGACAGTTCCATTATCTGTCAGGGGAGGCCCAGGATCACAAGAAGCTCATTCAGAATTGTCCCTATCAGAATAATTTTCCAGAAGCTACATTTTCCTGGTCAAACAGGACACATTCTTATGTTGAGGTACGCTAATTGCATACTTTACAACAATCAAAATGTTGATATAAGTAGTTAATACAACCTACTTTAACAGTAATGTCTAATAACCATCTTTTACAGTGGTGTATTTTAACCTACTTTTACAGTATTGTACATGTATTACAAGTAAGCTAACTTTCATAGTGTACATACAGTGTAACACATATATAGCAAATACAAAAATGGTGATTGCCTAATGTCTTATGTCAGAAACTTGATAATGAAGATAATAAAATATAAACTGGTTAGAGGTCTAAGCATTGGTTTAAGTGTTAATTTATTTCCTCCCAAGAGACTTCTGCAAGAAAGTGTCGGCTAAATAAATGTCTAAACCACATCTCCTTGAACAAGATCACAAAGTTGAGGTGGCTCTAGTCTAGACAATTAGTTACCTTTAATGAACTATCATAATATTTTTAAAACTTATGAATCTTTTTAAATGATACAGTATTATATGCTATGCATGCAAGTATATTTTAAGAAAAATGCTTTGTAAATGTTTTCTTTCAAAGTAAGGATAATATTAACATCATGCAGTTGTGAAAAATTAATTTTACCTTTTTCACCTATATTGTTTTTATGCCCCGCCATGAATATGGCCGGGGCATATAGTGTTTGTCATGTCTGTCTTCCGTCCTTCCGTCCTTCCGTCTGTCCTTCCGTCACACTTTGCGTTTAGCTCTGTTCAAAGCTCAGTTTCAAAGAAACTATCCAAGATATTTTTATCAAACTTCATGTGCTGATAGATATTGATGAGAGCTATGCAACTGCATCAACATTTTTTGACTTTGACCTTTCCTTTGACCTTGACCTCACTTTTCTTAAATTAGTGTTTAGCTCAGTTTTAAAGATACCATTCAAGATAGTGTAATCAAACTTCATATGTTGATACATACTGATGTAAGCTATTCAACTACATCAACATTTTTTGACCTTGACCTTTCTTTTGACCTTGACCTCACTTTTCTTAAATTAGTGTTTAGCTCAGTTTTAAAGATATCATTCAAGATAGTGTAATCAAACTTCATATATTGATAAATACTGATGTAAGTTACTCAACTGCATCAACAAGTTTTGACCTTGACCTTTCTTTTGACCTTGACCTCACTTTTCTTAAATTAGTGTTTAGCTCAGTTTTTAATGAAACCATTCAAGATATTTTTAACAAACTTCATATGCTGATACATACTGATGAGAGCTATTCAACTGCATCAATATTTTTTACCTTGACCTTTCCTTTGACCTTGACCTCACTTTTCTTAAATAAGGTTTTAGCTCAGTTTTAAAGATACCATTCAAGATAATGTTATCAAACTTCATATGCTGATACATACTGATGAGAGTTATTCAACTGCATCAACATTTTTTGACCTTGACCTTTCCTTTGACCTTGACCTCACTTTTCTTAAATTAGTGTCAAACTTTGTATGCTGATACATACTGATGAGAGCTATTCAACTGCATCAATATTTTTTGACTTTGACCTTTCCTTTGACCTTGACCTCACTTTTCTTAAATTAGTGTTTAGCTCAGTTTTAAAACCATTCATAATATTTTTTATCAAATTTCATATGCTAATACTTACTGATGTAACCTTTTCAACTGCATAAACAATTTTTGACCTTGACCTTTCATTTGATCTTGACCTCACTTTTCTTAAATTTGTGTCAAACTTCATATGCTGAAACATACTAATGTAAGCTATTCAACTGCATCAATATATTTTTTCACCTTGACCTTTCCTTTGACCTTGACCTCACTTTTCTCAATTTGTGTTAAAATGTTGCATTACTAATATACCCTCGGCGGGGCATTCATGTCCTATGGACATATTTCTAGTTTGTAGATTAATAGTGCTAAAATTTAATGCATTTCAAACACATTGATATATAATATGTGATACTTTGGTGATATTTAAGTAGTTATTAATAATAACATGTTGGAAATGTAATTGTTATTTCAAGTCAGTCAAAATGGTTTCAGGGGGCAGTGTGGCAAACGCTCTAGGGAAATGGGTCAAATGGTGGCAACAGGGGAAAGAGGGAATGTAACTATTTTTTTATTTGCATGGAATGAAGATTTTCTATTGAAGGTTATTTGGGTTGGTGAGTTGGGGTGGGAGGCTGAGGGGGATGGGGGTTTATAGGTTTCAAAAGACTAGTATCCAGTTTGCCTGAAAACTTTATTTAGAGGAAAAGTTTGATTATATATTTTAAAGCATGTTGACTGGTGACCAGTGCTTGTTTAACATTAATCCAAAAATGGTTTCAGTCCAGCTGCAAAGTGAACGAGGACAGCACCTTGTTGAACAGTGCTTTGTATGGGAATGTGACTGTAGGAGGGAAAACTGTGGTTTCTTGTTGTAAGGTCAAAGGTCATGTTACGTTTGGCAAAGACTGCTATATAGCTGGTCTGAAAGTGGACAATTTTAAGGTAAGACACCAAGTTGTTCTGTTATGTTTGAAAAAGATAAATTTTTTTTTCATTTTTGTTTTGTTTTTTTGAAAAGAAAAACAGTTTTTAGCTCACCTGAGCAGAAAGCCCAAGTAAGCTTTTCTGATCACCCATTGTTCAGTGGTTGCCTGCGTGGCGCAGTGGTAGAGCGTCTGCTCTAGAGTCGCGGAGTAAGGAGTTGATCCTTACGTTGCAGATTTGAATCCCACTGTGGGACGTTGAGACCGGTCCTTTGGATGAGACTTATAAACCGAGGTCCCATGTCGCAGTAGATGCTGGCACAAAAAAGATCCCTCACTGCTCAGTGGCTTTGAGTGCTGAGTAGAGGTCAAAATTTGCAGCTCTCCACTGGCAAGTGGTGGCGTCTCCATATGAGTGAAAAATTCTTGAGAGGGACGTTAAACAAAAAACAAACAAACCAACAACATTGTCCAGTGTTTGTTCATCCGTCTGTAAACTTTCCACATTTTTACTTCTCAAAAACCACTGAGCCAATTTTAACCAAAGTTGGCACAAATCATCCTTGGTAAAGGGGATTCCAGATTATTCAAATGAAGGGCAAGCCCACTTCCAAGGGGAGATAATCAAGAAAAAGCAAAAATAGGGTAGGTTAGGGGTGCAACGATACACTAACCTCACGATATGATACGTATCACGGTATTCAGTTCACGATACGATACGTATCACGATACATGACAAGGTTAAAAAGTCTTTCAAGTTTGTATCGTATTTTTTTTTAAACCTTGACAGGGTTATATAAAATGTTCATATTTTTTAATAATAATTAAAATAAAATTTTGTTAACTTGAATTGGATTGTTAGGTAGATCTTTGAGTTTTGACAATTTTCTAAACCAATGATGAACATTTACAGGGAACTACGGGGACCTTTCCTAATAATCTTCCTTTTAAATTGGAATGAAAAAGGAAGACATTCATTCTTTTATTCATTTTATTTACGTAGAAAACCAATTGTCATATATCTCATGTTAACACGTTTTAGTCAACAAGACAGTGAATTTTCATCGAAATACACAGGTGATGAAATATCGTGTATCACCAAAGAATACATTTAGATCTAAAGGGTTTAACATTTGTCTTAACATCTATAACTTATAATCACATTAAGTCCTCCGTGTTAAATCTGAGGTCTGTAAGATGCTGGAGATGAGTTTAACTTCCGTAAACAAAAGAGACGATTCGGATAATTCTGGACCGATTGAACCGAACCGCGATATCAGTTTAGCGTATCGTGAATTGAACCGTGGAAAAATATACCGCGATATACCGTCAAACGGTTTATCGTTGCACCCTTAGGGTGGGTCATTAAAAAATCTTTTTCTCAAGAACCAATGAACCAGAGAAGAAGAAACTTATGCAAAAGATTCCTGAGGAAGTGTAGATTCTAAATTGTTCAAATTAAGTGGATTGATATACATGTAGTCAATTTAATTAAAATAGAGAGTTCATTTTATATGAAGCATATTTTCATCCAATGCATGGTAAATACTTTTCAATTCATGGTAAACTCTGGCTAATTCTAAAAAAATTAATTTTTTAATGATATTTTCTCAATAACTAGAATAAAATTGTGTCACAAATTCATATTTTAATCATGTAATATATGTAAAGTCCCATTTTGATAATATTTGGTTCATAGCGATATGGGTGAACTTTTTCAAGTATGAGGGTGTCCAATGCATGGTGTACTCATCGTATAAACATCTTTTGAATAACTCAGGTGAGCATTGTGGCACCCGTAGACCTGTTGTTTAAACTTTTGTTTTTCTTTCAGAAAACTATTACTATCGATGATTCTATGGTTGTTCAGTCCTTTAATGTTCACCTCAGAACTCTGGGAATTACACGAGAAATCCTCACCATTCATGGGAGATACGACAAAATTCAGGTTCTTCTTTTTTAATGAAATATTAATACAATTGTATGTGATTCTGATTACCTGTAATTGCAATAGAAAAATTATCTACACTGACTTTGTGGTCTAAAAGTAGCTTCTAGTGCCCTGTGCTTCAGCAAAAGCTGTGCTTATTCAAATCAGTTATTTGTGGCTCGAAAATAAGTTAAATAATAGGATAATTATTCAGTATCTTTATACATGTATTGTGATCAAATATAAATCTAGAATCTCAAGCCAACTTAAAACTTTTTATAACTCACTAAAATATGTAATCATTTGTTTTATTTTGATGTATAGTAAAATTGCAGCTTATCCATGTCTTTTTAAAATCAAAATGTATACAAGAAACAAACATGATTCTGTAGGTTCCATATTGGAAGAGTTCGAGCACATTCTGCAACATGCCAATGGTGGTATGGATGAACAAGACAGGAATTGTGAAGGAGGACTTGTGGAGCACAGAAGTGGTAAATACTTTCTTATCCAACATGCACTGGGACATAAATTTTATGTTGGAGTTGACAGGGTGTTGGACTACATAGTGTAAAGAACAGGGAAAATAACTAAGTGGGAATGATATGATATGTAGGTCAGAATTCACAGTGCAGTGGATTGCACATGTGTTGGATTAGATGGTATTTAATGTATGAAATTATATTTATCACTTGTTTACTCCTTTATGCAGTGGATATAGCTCACAGGAGATCATTTTCATATCCACGGTTGTGATGTCACAATGGTTCTTGCGTGAATGTGATCAAGTCAAATTTTGTTGATTTACTTATATAAAACTGTGTAAAACATGAAATAGCTACGTGCTAAACATGTGATAAAAAGAATCTCCCATGGTTTGTGGTTGTTGTGTGTTTTTATCCTCTTGCCAAGGCACTGGGATAAAAACACACAAGTCGTTGGATAAAAAATCACGTCCAACCACAAACCATGAGAGATCCTATATGTAACTACCAACAAAGTTATGGATATCATATTGTAAGTTTACTTGCAGTATCTCAAATGTTGATATATATACAGTATTATAAATCATTACATCCATGCCAGCAAAATGTATCAAGGACAAGCTGGGGATCCTGTGTTTAAGCACAGGTGAAAATGTGTCCAAAACCGTGGTAAGACATCATTGTGGACAGGAAATAGCTAAGACACATATGTTTACCCTGTTCCCCGGGGGATATCCCCTGTACTTATACCACCAAATATTCCTGGACAGAATCTCCCTTCCTGTTAGGGGCCACCAAGACTGGTAGACATATGAGACTTCAGCCCAATTTTTGTTATACCCTTTCTTTGAACAAACAGCATTAGTTCTCTGTTATGTTTAAGGGAGGGGGGGGGGAGATGCCAGCCCAGATACCATAGGAACAGTGCTAATTATAATGGAAACTGTTACTGATGTTCCCACTCCCTTATGGTGCTTCATCCCTACAAGCTTCATTAATTGGCAATACTTTTGTTTTATAAATATACACTTCATTTTCCAAAGTATTCACATGTATATAGCTGTATGAGTATTACCCAATCAGATTTCACTGCAAGTTAGTGCATTTGCATGCACATGTTTTCTAGATTTCTCACATATATCTCCTCATAGGTTCATTATATATACCCATGTCTTAAATATCAAAGAATTTAATTGAAAACTAAGAAATATATAGCCATTTAAGTATTAGCCCAATCAGAATTTAGCATACAAGCAAGCATGTAGGGAGAGGGCTAAAATAGGCTGAGCCTGTGACCCAATCCCATTCACTTTTGTGAATAAAATATTGTTTAAGTTAAAATTAAGCATATAACATTCATGTTTTATAGTACCATAATGCAAGGACCACATGACACTAAATAATACATATATCTATGTTTTAAATTGCATCCTGCTTTCTTAAAAACTAAGAAACTTATGGCCATTGGAAGTTTCAGCCAATCAAATTGCAGCATATGTACATGCATTTGTTTTAAAGAATATTTGGATATTCATGTATCACACTGTAGAACCTCATAATATATAGCTATATTTAAAATTTCAAAGCTTTTTGTCAAAAAACATATTAGGAAGTTATTGAGATTTTTGTTTCAGCCAATCAGAGCAAAGCACACAAGCACACACTCATGCTTTCAAGCTAATTCACTCATATTGTCTTGTTTACACTGCTAATTTATGTTTATATACTAATTTCAAAGCATTTCATCACAAAATATGAATTTTGAAGCTATTTCAATTATACCTATAATTTCACCCAGTGCATGCACACTCAAGTGCATGCACATGCAACAAGATGACCTTCATCTACAAAACAATCCTAACCTTAAAAAGGTGTCATCTTTGAGTAGTTTCCTGGAGCACTTGCGGACAAAAGAAAAGTAGAAAAAAGAATAATGATAAGAGGAAGCAAAGTAAAAACAATGTTCTGAAACTTTATTTAGGGAACATAATTAGATATTGATTATGTTTATAATCAGTGTTTATTTTCCAAATTCATATTATTAATCTGTATATAGTAGAATACCCCTTATGGACCTCATGTAAACCACATGATAAAATTAACCAATCAGGAATCATTCATTTATTAGCCAAAGTTAGCATGCCTGCAGTGTTTAATAAATGGGGTTTTACTTGGTAAAATAAGTATTCTTAGAGATGGTATGAAAGAGAAATTTTTGTCTTGGATACTGTTTGGACTTTGCAAGACATCTCCAACTCTGAATTTTGTAGCATTCATATTAGGGTTATTTTTGCTGATGTTAAAGAATTACAAAATGTGTTGGTTAATAGTTTATTATCAGACTTCTTATAACCAATTGCATGGTGATAAATTTTGAGAAACATTACTCATAACAAAATTGCAGTACTTGCCCTACACAAACATTTCCATATTTACAACTTGCAAAAAAAGGTTTTCTCAGTTAGTGGATCTGTAGTTTTTTGGTATGTCTATCCACATCATATTTTCCAGAGATCTGCAGTTCTGCAGCTACATCATTGCTTTACATTATATATGATATGCTTAAGTTAGCACTAAATGAACCTTATTTCAGCACATTAAACATTACACAAATTTGTAGGTACACAGTGGTTAATTAGAGTTAGTTAATTATTCCAACAGGACAATGAGAACCAGACAATGTTCCAGGCCAAACTATTTCCTGTCATCCATGCCACAGATTCTATAGGGTTGGAAGACCTTCTCTGGATCCAGGGAGCTGTTCCAGATGAGGATCGCACTAGACTTAAAAGGTTATTAATTCATCAGCATTTACTTAAACTCAAATGATTTATGAAAAATTTATAATTTTCAATGGAAGGTGTTTGAGACCTTGAATATGGTTATACAAAAGTTTGGGGCCATTAAGAGGTTCAGTATAGACAATATGTAGAAGACTTTGGTGAAATTGACATTACATATAGATAAACTTTGAAGCACCCGTACTTCCTTTGCAAGCATTTGCTTATTGCTAGTCAAATTAAGACCTGGAAGTGTTTGAAGTGCATTTGTGTTTTATTCTTGGATCTCTAGGTGGCAATCATCATGGAGGCTGAGCATGAAAGAAATCTTATCCTTTGTCAATGCTGAACAGGAACTACAATCTAGAAGGTAAGTAAATGTTGAACAGGAACTACAATCTAGAAGGTCAGTAAATGTTGAACAGGAACTACAATCTAGAAGGTCAGTAAATGTTGAACAACAACTACAATCTAGAAGGTTAGTAAATGTTGAACAACAACTACAATCTAGAAGGTCAGTAAATGTTCAACAAGAACTACAATCTAAAAGGTCAGTAAATGTTGAACAGGAACTACAATCTAGGAGTCAGTAAATGTTGAACAGGAACTACAATCTAGGAGGTCAGTAAATGTTGAACAGGAACTACAATCTAGGAGGTCAGTAAATGTTGAACAGGAACTACAATCTAAAAGTCAGTAAATGTTGAACAGGAACTACAATCTAGAAGGTCAGTAAGTGTTGAACAGCAACTATAATCTAGAAGGTCAGTAAATGTTGAACAGCAACTACAATCTAGAAGGTCAGTAAATGTTGAACAGGAACTACAATCTAGAAGGTCAGTAAATGTTGAACAGGAACTACAATCTAGAAGGTAAGTTAGTGTTGAACAGCAACTATAATCTTGAAGGTCAGTAAATGTTGAACAACAACTACAATCTAGAAGGTAAGTAAATGTTGAACAGGAACTATAATCTAGAAGGTCAGTAAATGTTGAACAGCAACTACAATCTAGAAGGTCAGTAAATGTTGAACAGCAACTTCAATCTAGAAGGTCAGTAAATGTTGAACAGCAACTACAATCTAGAAAGTCAGTAAATGTTGAATAGGGACTACAATCTAGAAGGTCAGTAAATGTTGAACAGCAACTACAATCTAGAAGGTAAGTAAATGTTGAACAGCAACTACAATCTAGAAGGTCAGTATATGTTGAACAGCAACTACAATCTAGAAGGTCAGTAAATGTTGAACAGCAACTACAATCTAGAAGATCTGTAAATGTTGAACAGCAACTACAATCTAGAAGGTAAATAAATATTAAACAGGAACTACAATCTAGAAGGTAAGTTAATGTTGAACAGGAACTACAATCTGTAAGGTAAGTAAATGCTGAATTACAATCTAGAAGGTAAGTAAATGCTGAATTACAATTTAGAAGGTAAGTAAATGCTGAACAAGAACTACACAGGGAAAAGTGGCTTGCATGATTTTCACATGATTTTCATTTTATATAAAAATTATGCGAAAATCATGTGAAAATCATATGAATATTTTTTCATGTGAAAATCATGCGAATTGGTTTGTATGATATTCGCATGATATTTATATAATTTTCATGTGATTTTTTTCGTGCGATATTTATGCAATTTGGTCTTCATGTAAAATTCATATGAAAATTATGCGATATTCATATAAAAATTGTATATTATTCATATGAAAGGTAAAAAACAATTCAAGTTTAAGATCTTCAATTTCTTTCATCAACTCTTTTTCATTAAAATTTTACAAACTCTTTATAATGATGTTCAAACTTCTAACTCTTTGTTGTTAAACCCCAATACAATTCTAACAGAAACCACAAGTTGGAGATTGCATCACATCATGTAAAATTAAAGGCCAAAAGCTAAAAATCTAAGTTAAAACTTCATAAATTAGGTAAAAGGGTAAGATAAAGTTTTCGCATAAATTTCATGCGATTTGTTTTTCGTCTCTTTTTCATGCGAAAAATTTACACGAAATTCATGCGAATTTCATATAAAATTTATGCGAGCCACTTTTGCCTGTGTACAATCTAGAAGGTAAATAGATATTAAACAGGAACTACAATTTAGGAGGTAAGTAAATGTTGAACAAGAACAACAATCTAGGAGGTCAGTAAATGTTGAACAGCAACTACAATTTAGGAGGTAAGTAAATGTTGAACAAGAACTACAATCTAGGAGATAAGTAAATGTTAAACATTTTGTCCTTTGTAAATGCTGAATAGGAAATAATGTCACAATGATGAAGAATCAAAGAATCAACCTGGAATCAAATGCAGGGCCTCTGGTGTACTGTGCCAGTGTTCCTAACTACTGAGTTATTGAGATCTTATATAAATGGACTCATCTGTAAATGATGAACAAGAACTACTGTCTGAAGGATTAGACAGGTGGGAGTAACATGAAAGAGACATTAAATACTATTGATTAAAGATAAAGATTGACGTCTTAACCAAGTTTGTCTGGCACTAGATGAGGGGTAGCATGTCTTAAGTCAAAACTGAGGCCTCATGCTGAAGTGCATAATGCTCTAAACCTAATTAAATCACAATTAAGGTTGCATGTACATGGAAGTGTAGGACTGAACTTCAGATAATTGCAGTAATTATAGTTTGTATTCAATATTCCTCCATTGTAAGAATATATCAAATATTAATCTCATCATGTAATAAAAGGTCAGTTTGTTTGTCAGTTCTTTCATCCTACATGCATTTTGTGTCATGTAAATTAAAATATTAACCCAATAATTTGATAACCTCAAGTAGAAGTTGTGCTCTGTTTTGTACAGAATGTTTTCTGAAGTTTTAAATCTTTGTAATATAATCAGATCAGTCAGTTTACACCCAGATATACAACAATAGCCTATTTAGGCTATAATTAAAAAAATTCCTAGATTCTTAATATCCAAATTGTTTGAAAAATCGAGGCAGGTGGGCTTATTTTATTTTACTTTAGATCACTATATTTTTTGCAAATCCTTATTTTTGTGATATTGTTGTGTGGTATTTATAAGTGAAACGAAATTTTCACAAATTTTGGTTATTGCTCTATGTTATATTTAATAAAAGAATTATACGCAAGTATGAAATTTTTTCGCGACTAGACAGTCTCTCGTAATTACGCGAAAAATAAAGTTTTTGCGAATAAAAAGTGATTTACAGTAATATTTTATTCTTTTACATTGTACAGATTTTCTGTTGACCTGATCAATCGGTGCATTTTTATCGATTATGCCCAAATTAAATCATTGAAGAGGTTCATTTAAATACACATATCTCTTACTACACATTCTCGTTAATCTTTCACAACCAAGGATCCTTGTTTGATACATATTACAGCAATAACCATCTTGTCAGCTGTCAAAATCACACTGACATTTGCAGGATATAAAACGAAAGCTGAATGGTAAGTTGAATACTGATGCCGATCAGAATAAGAATGAAAAAAAACAGAAATTTTTTAAAAAGCGAAACGGGATAAAAAAAATTGGGGCAGGCGATGATGAAAATCTAGGAATTTTTTTTTTTTATTATGGCCCTTCACGCAGTATTTTATTTATTTAGTTTCTTCATCCCTTTGTTCACTCATAAATGAAACATGCTTTCATTTCTCAAAAGAAATCTAATTTTTAATTAAAATGCACACAATTTCTGTATATCTTGTGGAGTAAAAATTGACGAAAATTGCCTTTCAACTTGTAAATTTCTTAAAGGAATACATAATAGTCAATTATGCCAGTAAGAGTTACCTCTCTTATCAGAGGGTCAGTGAACCTTAAACTCAAGCTTGATACAACAGGACTCAGTAACGGACACAATGCTCATATTGAGAAAATGAAAATGAGTAGTATTTTGTAAAAAATACGAATTTGCCCAAAAATCACGAATAGAAGTGAATTTTGAAAAAATGATAAATAATTAAGTCTGGAGATATTCTCATGATGCATCATCCCTGAAAAAAATCCGTCCGCTCACAGCTGAGATAGAAAACAGACAGAAAACAATAAGGTCTTCTGTAGGAAGTTGGAAGTCCTAAATGAGATGCCGATCAAATGGAGTAAAATGTATTGCAAATATTTGTATGTTGCATTTTTTGTTGTGATTTTAAAAAATTTTCTTACCTCAAAACCGATCCGTCTTTGGAAGCTTAACATAGAAAAGAAAACTTGGAATGGGCTTGGTTGGGATCTTTGTTCTGGAGGTTACATCAGTGTGCCATTAAAGCATGTCATGTAGCACTAGGGGTACCACTAGATCACTGTTAACATAATGTCAGTTCAAAGGAGTGGGAACTCGCGAGCTCTCATAAACATGTCTGTTGAAGGGATAAGAAATGTTGGTGAGCACTTTGTTGAATACTCCTCAAGCTTTGACAACATACCCTGTGCATCAATACAGACATGCACTTTCTCACAGCTGAGTCATTGTTTACTCTACCACTCAGAGGGCCATCATGCAGTTTTCAGATAGCCAGGAGAGAGTTACTCAGACTATTGAGTTGCTGAACATATCAGTTTTGGAGGTGGGAGTTTTATAGTGAGGGGTGATATCTCTGCCTGAGAACCTGTTTAGTGTTTCTTGGGGAAGATTCTGTAAAGGTGCTTGGAGAAATTGTACTTGTATAATGGCCAGCTATTACATGGCCTCTGTATTATGTATACGTTACATCCAACAGTTGCTCTGTTAGTTAAAGAATTATTCAGATATTCAGATTTAGTTTGTAATGAAAGAAAAACAATAATTTTACATTTAAAACTAATTTCTAAAAAATCTTGCATAGTACTTTGGTGCTCTTTATATAAATTCCCCCCACTTTTTGAACATGTGGTTTGATTCAAACACATATACAGTTTCATAACAGATTATAAGAGTGTGAACATATGTAAAAAAAAAAAAAAAAAAAAAAAAAAATATATATATATATATATATATATATATATATATATATATATATATATATATATATATATAATGAATTATAAGTAAGATGATGTTTGACAAATATTTTCAGAGAGATGTTTTATGAAGTCAAGAAGGAAGAAATAACAAATGCCTTGCTGCAGCGACTCCATAAAGGGTTTCATCCAATATACAACAGTGCAGGAATCGATGGATTCTCCATATCTATTTTGGAAAAACTAGATTCAGGTTTGTGACTAATTGGATGTTGTTGTTTTTTTATACTTCTTTGTATAGTCTATTGTTTCATTTGTACATTATCTCTAATTGTTGTGTGGTCTATGAGTTAATGTTTTTAGCTCACCTGAGCTTTTCTGATCACATTTTATCTGTAGTCCGTCTGTCTGTCTGTCCGTCCGTCTGTAAACTTTTCACATTTTCGACTTCTTCTTCAGAACCACTAGGCCAATTTCAACCAAACTTGCCACAAAGCATCCTTGGGTGAAGGGGATTCAAGGTTTGTCAAATGAAGGGCCACGCCCTAATTTGGTGGCATATTTTAAAAATCTTCTTCTCAAGAACTGCTGTCCCAAAAAAGTTGAAACTTTTAGGAAACCTTTGTTACAGAGTGTAGATTCATTTTTTTCAAAACATGACCCCTGGGGGTAGGGTGGGGCAACAATGGGGGATTGAAGTTTTATATAGGAATATATAGGAAAAAATCTTTAAAAATCTTCTTCTCTAGACCAGCAAAACCATGTTTAGTCATATTGATATGGAAGCATCCTCAAGTAGTGTAGATTCAAGTTTGTTCAAATCATGACCCCTGTGGGTAGGATGGGGTCACAATGGGGATCAAAGTTTTACATAGAAATATATAGGAAAAAATCTTTAAAAACCTTCTTCTCAAGAACAGCAAAACCATGTTTAGTCATATTGATATGGAAGGATCCTCAGGTAGTGTAGATTCAAATTTGTTCAAATATGACCCCCGGGGTTAAGATGGGGCCATAATGGACGATCAAATTTTTACATAGGAATATATAGGAAAAAAACGTAAAAATCTTCTTCTCAAGAACAGCAAAGCCCTGTTTAGTTATATTGATTTGGAAGCATTCGCAGGTATTATAGATTCATGTTTGTTCAAATGATGACCCCTTGTGGTAGGGTGGGGCCACAAAGGGGGATCAAAGTTTTACTTAGGAAAATAAAGGAAAAAAACTTTATCCCAAGAACAGCAAAGCCATGTTTATTCATATTGATTTGGAAGCATCCTTGGGTAGTGTAGATTCAAGTCTGTTCAAATCATGACCCCTTGGGATAGGGTGGGGCCACAAAGGGGTATCAAATTTTTACAAAGGAATATATAGGAAAATATCTCTAAAAATCTTCTGCTCAAGAACAGCAAAGCCATTTGTTATATTGATATGGAAGCATCCTCAGGTAGTTTAAAATTCAAGCCCCCCCCCCCCCCCCATTTTAACTTTTCAATACTGAATTGATTGTGCTTTTTCCTGGCCATTGTGCTCAGGTGAGTGATGTGGCCAATGGGCCTCTTGTTAGATTTGATTTACAGATTGTTGTATAGAAAATACATGATTTCTAGCTAAATGTGAAATCTGGAGAAAGTGAGGTCAAGGTCATGGAGACGGTCAGAAAGAGTTGAAGTATGAAGTAGAATGAAAATATCTTAATTACTTTCTTTAAAACTGAGCTTAAAGTAGGAGATGGGGAAAAAAAAGTTGTTATTCAAATCAAGTGCCCCAAGAGTAGAATTTAATATGGGGTCGTGATTAGTCAAAATAATGTGAAAGCATCCCCATACAGTGTGGATTCATAATTGGTCAAATGTAGTTCTTCAAGGCAAGGTTTGCTGCCACAGTAGGGGGTCAAAAATTTTACACAGGTACATCTGTAAAGAAAATATTTAAAAATATTTTGTTAAGAACAGCTGTGTTACAAATAGTGTGAAATTTAGATGAAATTATCTCTGACTAGTTTCTTTGGAAATAATGTTCACTGGAATTAGGATGTGACACAATGACAAGAGGTCAAGGTTTTACGTTGGGTAATACACAAAAAACTCCTCAAGTGTCACAATTAAGTTACCATATCAAAAATCCTTTAATATCACTTTGTCTTGAGTATCAGAAAGAAATGTTATCAAAATAATATGCAAGCATCCCCATATTTGGGAATTTAATAGTCTTCAATCCATAGCCCCTTGTGGTGGAAAAGATTCACAACTGCATAGAGCTGAACTGCTGTAACTTGGGAATTTGTAGAAAATAATCTTCTTAAAATTCTTCTTGAATCAACAAAGCTTCTATTTTTCATATCAATATGCAAGTAAAATAACTTCATGAGTAAGTCTTCATGTGCAAGTCTTTACCCCTGGAACCAGGGTCCATGGGGCATAAAATGGGTACAAATTTTACACAGATATATAAAAACTTACAGTTTGTAAACCTCCCATCAAACCCAAATATACTGTACATATACTGTAAGTCTTGAAGCTGTGGAGGAAAGGTTTATCCAGAATAAGGGATTGCAGTTATCTACATATCTGAATATCAGGAATGAAAATATACCTCAGGTGAGCATTGTAGCCTTTTGCAATGAAATTATATTGTTTGTCATTTCATCAAAATTAAATGTCACATAATCTTTTGCTTTGTACTTCTTATGAAGTCATAAAAAGTCACGAAGAGTATGAGAAGGTTTTATTTCCTTTTAAACACTATATGTAACCTTTAATAAAGTCAGAAATTAAAAGTGTCATTTCTCAAAAACAGTGCTTTTGGTAAATGCTTCAGATGAAATGAGTGACATTTAGTGACAAGTGTTGGAGAAAATGCTTCTAGTGAAGTTGACTGCATAAGCTCACTGACTGGTCATTATGTAGCCTTAACTTGTACACGTACTAACTTTATAAGGTCGTGACTCAATAAAGGTGAGTTTTTTAGTTCTGTGAGTGGGATTATTGTGTAAATCACACAGATTTATCATGTAGGCATACTGTACGTGTACATAAATTGGCGTATTCAAAATTTAGCGCAATCAATGGGTATAGGGTTGTTGGCATATTCATGAATTAGCGCTACTCACAAACGTGCCATATATTGTTTTGATAAATGATTTATTGGCAGTATTCATAAATTAGCGCATCGTTGTCCGCGCCAAAGCCGCTAAAATATAAAGCCCACTATTTTAAGTACATAATAACAATTAATTACATTTTTAAAAGTCATTGGGAGTAAGTAATTGAACTTTTTTTCAATTACTTGTAATGGAAAAGATGAAGATAACAAACAGTGATCAATCTAAAAAAAAATCTACAAACAATACAAATCTGTGAATAGGGCATATAACACAGACCACCAGAAATTCCAGAGGTGGGATCAGGTGCCTAGGATGAGTAAGTATCCCCTGTTGACCGGTCACACCTGCCGTGAGGCCTACATATTGATCAGTTAGACAGAACATTCCGTAGTCAAGTTTAGTATAAATACAAAGGTCTAATAATTAGTATGAAACATATCAGTCAAAATACAACTTAATGATAGGTTAATTATCTTTGCCAAAAAGTTCATTATAATGACCATAGAATTTACATGCTGACTGTAAATGAGGTTGTTGAAATCCCTGAAAAATTTACTTATTTGTCAGTAGCCTGCATCAGTTTAAAAATTGATTGTATCGTTTATAGTCAGTAAAACATCCAAATCTGAAACAGATGTGGCAAACTCTGTTGTGTCTTTTATTTAAAGTTCTTTTAGTGTTATTTAATTAATTACACTCTAAAAACATGTCATTTCAATTAGGTACTTTTCAACAAGATTTCAATTTATCACGTTTACTCCTTTATCCTGTGGATATCACTCATTGGATATTTTTTTCATATCCCACAGCTGTGACGTTACAATGGGTTTTGTGTGAAAGTAATGAAGTAAAATAATGTGGATTCATATATGAAAACAGTGTAAAACATTGATATTGATGTATAAAACATGTAATAAGAAGGATTTCCCATGACTTGTGGTTCAGGATATGACTTTTATCCAATTTGTGCATTTTTTATTCCCTTGCCAAGGCTCGGGGATAAAAAACACACAACTTGTTGGATGAAAATCATATCCAACCACAAATCATTGGAGATCCTATATTTATTTACTTTACATAAACATGCGTTTACATGTTTTAATAGGAAAAAAGTTCCATTAAATTCACATTTCACAGTTCTTTTTCATCAATAAAACAACTAAATCCTTCTTTATTTCAAAATCTTAGCTTATTAAAGTTTAGTACATGCTAATAATTGATTTTCATATATTGACTTGATTATGATAACATTAGTTTGTTTAGTAATTATAACATGGTGATGTCAAACCAAAACTTATGCTTTGATTAGATTTAATTTGCATCTTCTGAACATTCTCACATTTTACGATTCATGTAAACAATCTCTGTGTTGTTATTTAATTTCACCTTTATGAGTAAACATCCAGATGTTGATAACTAATATGGTAACTGGTTAACCATTCTATTTTTTTTCATTTCTTAATATATATTATTAATAGGAAGATTTAAATTTGCCTAATTGGAATGTCCAAGATTCCTTCTTTAAAGTACTTTGATGTGGATAATATTCAACACAAATTTAGATGTCAGGTATTAGGTGCCATGATCACATTTTCAAACTTTGAAACTCTTAATTTGAATGAAAGAAAACTTGAGTGTGTTGTTGCTGATCACCCAAAGGTTTATTTTATGTCCTTGACTCACTTGTTTCATATATGGGGTCACCCCCTTCTTTTTCTTTCCACAAGGTACCTCACTCAATTCCAGGCACCCATTCTTCATGCTTGTATTTTATTAATATATCACTCATTAACCTACTTTAAAATGACATTGTTCACTTTGAGAGACTTTTCCTACTCAAATAAATTTCAAGACTCTAGATGGGATACAAGAACTTCCGGTTGGGGTTATTAATGTAGGATAAAACCAGAGCCTTCCGGGCTTTCCATTCTGAGGTCTCTGGTTTTATCATAGACTAAATCCCATGTCCCTAAGCTTAGGTGGGTCCAAATATTCACATGAGGCCAAAATAAAATATACCTTTGTTTCCCCTAACACGACCGACCCACTTAAATCATGCCGACTGAAAAGTTTTTTTAATAAGATGGTTAAAATAATTTTTTTATTGTTTATCAACTTTATGAAATAAAATTTTATCAAAATTCGTTTTTTATCAGAAAGGTTGCTTTTGTTTTACTCTCATTTGGCGGCCACAACATGTGGCCACAGAGGGTTAGTTCTGCCTCATGAGCAGATGAGAGACCCACCTTGTGTATGCATATCAATAAATTTCACTGCAGTTCATTCGTTTCTATCTAATAAACAGTTCATAGTTCATAAACAGTCCTATTTTTACTATATAGGACCATAGGAGTTGTAAATATGTCTTTGAATGATTATTTCATCTTGATAAATATACATGTAATTCTGATGTCGTTTCTTCAATCCTTTTATCTATGGGGTATTAACTTCATGACTTTAACATTAGATATATGAAACTTTAATCATTTTAGATATGGTTTGGTTGATTTAAATATTGTTTATACACTCTTTCCAATTAGTGTTGAAATCTTTAAAATTTGCTTATGGTACGGCTTCCTGATATGTCCAGTGTATTTTTTTTAATTTGGCCCTTGAAAACAGGTTGTTTCTTTGCTTCAAAATACCTTTAAAATTGTTGGGCCGGTGGAGGGCTACTAATTTAGACTTTTACTCGGCACTTATGGTCATTGATCATTAAGCATCAGTAAGGGATCTTTTTCGTGCCAAAATCTACATGTATACAGCGACAATGGACCTGCATTTTTTAGGGTCTTATTCGACTGACCAGTCTCCACGTCCCTCTTCGAGACCTGTGACTTAGAATAAGCTCCTGAATTACGTCGTCACTCCAAAACGAAACACTGGAATCACTGCGCCACACGAGACCCTTGACATTTTGTCTGTGTAAGTTCTCGACGATGATAGTAGGTTTGAAAAATACACTCGGATGTCCGATGGTTGAATATTTGCGAATCTTGTGTTTTTGTAAATATTCGATTTCAATAAAATTACGCTGGCCTGAAATATTTCACAAGTTCAAATGAAAAATATTTGTGAATTAATTTACCATACATGTTGCTTCATTTGTATGATATTCGGTTTAAAAATCGGTTTATGTTGTTCTTTCTTATATATAAAGATATTATTCAAGTTTTAAGAATGTATTTTCAAAACTGCTGTCAGAACTAGAACTGTCCAAAAGGGACAAATACCCCCCGCTGGGTTTTTCAGAGAAGGTACCAAATCACTAATGTTTTCTAAATGTGAGAGGTGTTCACAATTTGCTTAAACATTTAGAGTGAAAATTTAATTACTCATTATATTTTTTTCAATGAATGAAATTAAGGTGCAGCTTAATAAAACATCAATACTAATAATTACAGTGTTTTTTATTACATTGAAAAAATAGTTTGCAACTATCTGTCATCTTTGTGAGACATGACACTCTGCAAATTGATTGTTGAAAAAAAAATATCATAATTAATTATACAAAGTCAAATTGATCTTAATACCTTTATATCAAACTCATTTTAAAAATAAAAGGCTGGTTTCAGTAACTATGTATTTTGACAGACATAAATTACAATTAAGAGGCTTAGACAACAGAGATCTTTATTTCTTTCTGCCCAATTCCCAGGAGATATAGATAAAGTGTAAGACCTGCTTGATCAGAGATGCCCTAACCGCTTCCCACAATGAACTCATTAATTAATCTTTAACTGGATGGATGTCCACTCATTACTCCAAAGGGACAAATAGATTTACACTATCTGCTGTGTAATGTAAAAACTGTTTTTAATATTATGTGATTTTTTTTTTAGTTCTAATGAGTAGTTTTAAGCTGTAGTTCACATTTTTGTACAGATGTTCTAGATTCTATGTCTCAAACCTTAGATATGAACTTGAAATGACTAAGTCAATAACAGTGAAAAAAAAAACACCTGTAAAATGCAGAAAAATTATCAAATAATGTTGAAAATACCAGGTGCACATCTTCATATGGTAAATAATAAGTGTACAAATTTTCATACAAATCTATGCAATATCTCTGGGAACAGATCGGGACAAAACCACACAATAAAAATGAAAAAAAAAAACACCTGTAAAATGCAAAAAAATTATCCAATCATGATGAAAATACCAGGTGCACACCTTCATATGGTGAATAATAAGTGTACAAATTTTCAGACAAATCCTTGCAACAGTTTTCAAGAAATGGTCTGGACAAAATCTCATTTACAGACAGACGGACATGCTGATTCCAATATACCCCCCCCCTAAACTTCGTGTGCGGGGGGTATAAAAAAAATAATTTACCTACCTACCCAACTTGAGATTTTTGGGTCGGGTTAGGGGAAACAAAGATATTTTTAATGATAGCCTGAGTTACAATACAGGAAAAGAATCTTCAAAAATCCTCTTCTAGATAACAGAAGTTATGTTAATGTGCAAGAGAGTCCTAGCAAAGTAAAGACACTTATTTTCTCGAATCATGTCCACTGGGGATTGGGTAAGGTTTAAACAGGTACAGTATTCAAAATTTCTTGATTATCTCTGTTTGTTGCTAATTTAAAATTGCTTTTGAAATATATTCATGTTTTAATTAACTTCTTGCAAATTTTAGAGTCCTGTTTGAGACCTGGTACCTTCCAAGAATTGGAGCATGTAGTAGAATATTGATAGTATAGAGAATGATCATATTGGGCTCAAAAGTATAGAGTATTGATAGTATAGAGAATGATCATATTGGGCTCAAAAGTATAGAGTATTGATAGTATAGGGAATGATCATACTTGGCTCAAAAGTATAGAGTATTGATGGTATAAACACTGATCATACTGGGCTCAAAAGCATAGAGTATTGATAGTATAGAGAATGATTGATAGTATAGAGAATGATCATACTGGGCTCAAAAGCATAGAGTATTGATAGTATAGAGAACAATCATACTGGGCTCAAAAGTATAGAGTATTGATAGTATAGAGAACGATCATACTGGGCTCAAAAGTATAGAGTATTGATAGTATAGAGAATGATCATATTGGGCTGTAAAGCATTGAGTATTATTATACCTCATTATAATTATTATATACAACGCGTTATCTGATTGGTTCTATCTTATCATGTGACAGGGTCATAAAACTTCATATTTCCCTGTCGTTGTCATGCTTTTCATCATATTCAACCTCTCCGGAGACCTGGTGCATATTCCCACAATAGTTATCGTTCGTTGAACGAAAACTCCAGAAAGTAGTTGAGACGTCACAATAGCCTGGTACATGTCATAAAATTGCTAACAGACTTCTGAAAATTGTTTCAGTAACACAACGTTAAAATTGAAAGTGAATTTTTAAGAGCCGTGCCGAATTAGAAAGTTTATGTTTATTGTAAAAGTTTTTGCTTGTTTCGATATAATAAACAATTTACTACATGAATGTTCGGGAAACATGAAGATTTATTCAGCCAAGAAATATCATATACCCCTCGGGCGAAGCCCTCGGGGAATATGATTTTTCTTGGCTGAATAAATCTTCATATTTCCCTCACGATAATGCAATAAATGTATATTGATAGTATAGAGAATGATCATATGGGGCTCAAAAGTATAGAGTATTGATAGTATAGAGAATGTTCATACTGGGCTCAAAAGTATAGAGTATTGATAGTATAGAGAATGATCATACTGGGCTCAAAAGCATAGAGTATTGATGGTATAGAGACTGATCTCCTTACAGTGGCTAAGAGTTGTCAGAGTGATCCTGGAGTAGCAGCACGGACACTTGCTAATATAGCTGACGTACTGGGCTCCAAAGCAGGACAGAAGGGAGGGTTAAGGAGTGGACCAGCGGCAAACAAGGCCTGGGCAAAGGCATTCCATCTCCTAGAGGTAATTAGACATTTCAGCATAATTTGCTAGCCTGGTTTAGGATATCCTGAACCAGTTGCTGGTTTGAAGATATTCCTAAACCAGATGCTTACCTGTTTTTGGACAACAAAACAAATGGTTTCATGATATTTTTTAATCATATTGAATTTGTATTTACAATCAGTCTGAATTTTGATTCCTTTTACTTAATTCTAGCCTATTTAATAATATGTACTGTATCATTTGATATAAAATTTAAAATTTAGTTCTTATTTGAATAAATACAATAGATGAAGAAGCTCTACAGTTATAAGTATTATGTGGATAGAAGTGAGTAAAATATTGTCATTTTTCTGTGTTTTACATTGATAGAAGAGTCTACTTCTTCAGAAATCCTTTAAACAGGTGGCTTTAAAAATGCATGTTCTAACTAGTTTGTTGTTAATCGACTGATTACGGCAATCAGTTTTCATTAGAAATAAAGGATGAAATATTCAGTGGATATATATATTCAATGATTAAGGTTCATTAACCCTCTGATAGGAGAGATAACTCTTACTAGAATTATTGCCTATTATTCCCAATCTCCCTTACAGAGTTATCATTCTTCCTCTCTCAGACACCTCTGCAATCGGCTCGCATCAAGAATTTTGATAGAAATTTTTAAAAAAGATATTCCAAGTATTATTTCAAATTCAACCAATAGTTTTTGATCTACTTAGTAGATATCTATCTTAAAGGACAAACATTAGTTCAGGCATTTATTTATAATGGATTAAAACAAATGCACTATTCATTTGCTTATCACTGTGGTATATGTCAATGACAGAGGTGAATTTATGAGCTGATATTAGAGAGTATATAATGTCAAATTGAATGGTGATTTCTGTCAAATTTTCCACTGTACTAACATTTCAAAGTACCCTGAAAATGTTTGCATATCAATTATATATAGTATAGATTTCTTTTGAAGAATCGTTATCATTAAAGAAAATTTTATAATAAACCGAGAGATCATGAACCTCAAGAATAATAGTACATCAGAGATTAAATATGGTAGCTGTTTTCCTGCACACAAACTTAATTATCCTGTTAGTTGGTGTCAATATTTCTGAATGTTATTTATAACTCATTGGTTCTAGATTTATTATGTAAGAAAAATATTTGTTTTAATTATAAAATGAAAGTATATTTACAATAATACTTACTAAAATAAGAAAAGTTCAAAGGTCAGTTACTCTCAGTTTCTTACTCTTTCTTTTAAGGGGATGAAGGACACATGGTCACATGACTCTGTTAAACTACGTCATAATCTCCTTTATATAAGTGCAAAACGTGTAAAGCATCAGTTCTTCTATAATTGTTTGGCATTTTTTTCTTTAATTACCATCTTATATAAATAAAATGAAAAGTTTAACATTCTTGTAAACATTAACAAATTAAGAAAAAAGATTGATCCACTCCTCTGTTTCCCTAAACTGCGTGTCCGACAAGTCGGTGACGTCATACACGATCCGTTAGTACAGCAAGATCATACTCGGTGAATACAGGGGCGGTATTATTATATAAAAACAGGTCATAATCAGTATATGATGAGATATTTTGAGAAACAGGGAGCACAAAAATTATTTTTGCATGGCTGATGACGGAAATCTAAAGTAGGTATATCTAGCTTACGTATGACGTCATAGTTGGTTTTTTCCCATACTCGAGAAATGTAAACATGACAAGTTTTTGTCCTGCTTATGTCGTCTTTAACGATGTCCTGTGCAATATTGAGATCAGCTTCACCATTCGAAATTTTTACAGTTAATCAATAATTTGAAGGACTTGCATTTCAACGTAAATTTAAAAATATTGAATGATAGGATTTTTTGTAAATTACGTTTTTTGTTGTTTAAGTTGTCTTAAAAAGTTCGTAATTTTCCCTATCCAGATACAGTGTGATAGACGAAACTTGCCTTTTCGAATTTTAAACCCGATTCATACTCTGAAATATTTTAAAAGATACATGTTCACTTACATATTTTTTATATATGCTTTAAAAATCCAATTATGGACAGATGAGCCCGGAAACATGGAGAATTAAAACTCCACTTAGATACTGTAGGGCATAATATTTGTCAATCAATATCTCTAAAATAAGGTAAGAAACCTAATGATATAACTGCTTTAAGATATGTGGGACATACTTAATAAGAAATATACAAAATATAAAAAAAATTGAATGACAAGTATTTTTTCAGCTAAAGGTCCTTCTTCCCCTTAAAACCACTAGATCTTTCACAATAATTTGGGTATACTGTATCAAGATGCAGATACACCACAGTAATCACCCTGTCCATTTATCGATACATGTTACATAATAACAATAAAACTGCATACTTGAAAGGTGAAAAGTTTTAGATGAAGACCCTAATAGATATCACACTTATATTTTATAAAATAACTTAGTATATGTTACTATATGTTCTCTGTCTTGTTTATGACATTCTCAGTTCTCTTATCACAGAAATTAATAGCTTCTTTAGACATTTTAAAATAATTATATCCTGGCCCATTTAAAGTATCAAGGCATATTATATGTATATTGACTTCATTGTTAAGGGATACATAATGGGTCATTACTATGATAATGATGTTGATGTTTTGAATGAATTTGAAGAGGGGATTACATAATTATGTACGGAAATAACATTTCTAGTTCAAGGTGTCTAATGATTTCTTAGGTAAGTCACTGGTATGGGACAGAGAATGTCTCTTTGACTTACAATGTATGTACTGTAAGAAAAGTGCATACAGCTCTTGAAGAACTTTGATGATAAAATGAAAGGGATTTGGATTAAAATTGTATGTCATAACCAATTTGTAAAAGTATCGTATAGATTTTTCCAGTGAATTATCAGCTGAGATGAGATAATGGTCTCTTCTACCTTATGATTTAACCTTGACATTCTATTTAAAGGTCATCTTGATGTTGAATGATGATCTAAGTACAAAAACTTACTTTAAAGAATGCCCTTCAATACACTGTTAGAAACACAATTATTATCAGAGAAGAGACAATCACATAACATCTCAGATAATTAACAGTGGTATGTTGGCTGTACTGTAGAATAAGGGTTATTAACAGTGGTATGTTGGCTGTACTGTAGAATAAGGATAATTAACAGTGGTATGTGGGCTGTACTGTAGAATAAGGATAATTAACAGTGGTATGTTGGCTGTACTGTAGAATAAGGATAATTAACAGTGGTATGTTGGCTGTATTGTAGCTTAAGGTATTAGAGGTGTAATACGCCATTTCCGGTAAAAATGACGGCATTTACCGAGGTGTCTGACATCGGCAGTTTTCGGAACACTGTACTTCGTAAACAAAAATGGCGTGTCGTCAAGACGGCCTAGGACGCTAACATAAAACATGCACCAAAGAAAAGGAATATAACTTAGCGGAGGAGAGAATAAATATGATATTACGTAGAAAACACGTTAATATATCTTGTTAGACAAAATATGCAGTCAAAACGATGATACCTTCAAATATACACTTCATGGGTTTTTCCAACTTCTAAAAATAGCACCATTTTCGAAGAACGAACGAAGTATACCTTTCTTCAAAACTTTACATTCGCATCGCGATTTCTTGTGATTCTGTCAATATCAACAAACCGTTTGAGGGGAAAAATGTACGTAATAGGTAGCATTGCGTGCATTGTAGAATCTGCAATTTATAAGTGACGTTCAATGTCCATGCGAAAAAATATCTGAGATGTTCAAAATATATCAGTAAAAAATAGAATGTAAATATGTTTACAACATTAAAGAAAAAAAATTAATATTAGATATGGGAATAAATGATTTATTCTGGGTTGGGTTAGGGTGATTTTTGTTATTTTATTTACATTAATTAATTATTTTTACATAAGTTTACTGTTTAGAAGGGGGGGGGGTTGAATATTTTTTATTGATATTTTTTTATATTCATGTGGGGAACAAATTAGTTTTTTTTTTTTACCTTTTGGTTATGTTTCTGTCAGTATATATTTTAGTCTACATTGTATAGTAATGTTTTGATCTGTAAAGAACTTCATGCACATGGAAGCTGCAAAAATGTAGGTCATTTTGCAAATCTTTGTCTGGGTCAAGGTCACTGTGACGAGGTCAATCTTCTGAACAAATGAATCTGACTAAAGTGAAGTGTATTCAATATGACAATAACCTGTTGTTTATATATGTTCATCATTTCATTAATTATCACAAATCCCATGACCTTTACAAAAAATAATGGCTTAAATTTTTAGGGGTACATCGCTATGATACAGAATATAGATAAATATTGTGGATTGAATAATTTTTTGTTGTTGTTATATTATCACTAACACACCTTACACAAAATTGATATTGTTCTTTTATTGATCTTTCCTACCATATTTTTCTTTGACAGAATATTACAAACGGTTTTATGAAAGAAAATCGCCAAAATTATCACTCAAAGTAGACAAGTTCTCTCGATTACAAGTATTCATATATCATACCTGATGAATTTGAACTAAAAAGAATGCATATATGCAATCTGTACTGCTTAGTGTTGCAGCTGAATACATGAAATATTCAACTGTTTGCGACTATAACTAGAGTAGAGGTAAAAATTACATCTGTACCTTTTGTCTATTAAAGGTGCACCAGTGGTTAGAGGGTACAGGCATGAAAATAAGTATAGAGAAATTATGCTTGGACAGAATTGCATGAAACTTTGGGAAATATTGCCTGAAGTGTTGTCCATTATAACTAAACTGAATTTAGTCATATTCAAGGTCATGACCATTACACCCCTAATACCTTAAGGATAATTAACAGTGGTATGATGGCTGTATTGTAGCTTAAGGATAATTAACAGTGGTATGATGGCTGTATTGTAGCTTAAGGATAATTAACAGTGGAATGATGGCTGTACTGTAGAATAAGGATAATTAACAGTGGCATGATGGCTGTACTGTAGAATAAGGATAATTAACAGTGGTATGACTGCTGTACTGTAGAATAAGGATAATTAACAGTGGTATGTTGGCTGTACTGTAGAATAAGGATAATTAACAGTGGTATGATGGCTGTACTGTAGAATAAGGATAATTAACAGTGGTATGATGGCTGTACTGTAGAATAAGGATAATTAACAGTGGTATGTTGGCTGTACTGTAGAATAAGGATAATTAACAGTGGTATGATGGCTGTACTGTAGAATAAGGAGCTGGAGAAGGGAGTGAGTGCGCTGGCCAAGGAGCGGACAAAATGGTTAGACCGGGCCGATCTGTTAGTGAGGGCGGCCAGGCATTATGAGGGGGCTGCCCAGATACTCATACGTCACGCTGTAATGACTGCCAAAGAAGTAAGTCATTTCTTTTTTAACATTGTATGTCTGTTTATTCGTACATCTGTTTACTTGTGCATCTGTTTGCTTATTTGGGATTATGATAATAGATTAAATGTCATGCAAGTATTTTTAATAAAATTGGCAAGTAGAAACACAACTTTAAAGTCATGGAGTGACGTAAATTGAATTATTGGAAAACACATTTTAGAATGTTAATACAAATTCAGACACAAGATTCTGAACAAGAAGGGTAGCTATAATAATTAAAATTTGACCGTTGTGATAATGAACTTTAATGCACACAATAATGGATGTGACTGTCTGTTGAATCAAGATGTTTTACATTTGTGATTTATGTAATTTAATCCGATACCAACAACCTTTGATTTTTCATTTCTAATTTGAATTTTAAAAAATGATGGTTGGTTACACTAAGTAACATTTTATCTTGTGAAAAACACACTTCTTGTCATGTAGTAAATTGAAATAATGTATTTCCCAGAAAATTGTTCAGAATTTTTAATCTTGTGTTGATGTTGTTGTTGCGTACAGTTAAGCCCTTAGATTCTGTGCATTTCATAAAATTTACCCAGTATCCTGTTGTACATTACAATTTTGTTTATGTATATAGTACTTTAAACCTGAGCCCTGTTCGATGCCCTTTATCAATAAATGGGTGACGGCCCTTTGCCCGGCACGTATCGATGTGTCTGGAGGATGGTCAGACACGCCCCCTATCACGTACGAACATGGAGGAGCAGTCACAATGATAGGTCTACAGATTAAAGGAAAGGTATAGTATAGGTATTACAAGAGAGATCAAAATACTACTCTGGAATAAACCTAAACCATTTCCCTGCAAATACGTAATGCAAATGGAGGCTGATGAAAAGCATTATAATTTTTCAAAATCACTGAGACAAATATTAAGATTTATTATATAGCTAATAAATAGTCTATAATAAAAAACTACTAAAAGTCTAAAAAAAAAAAAAAAAAAAATTAGCATTTAACATATTGGCATTTTATTGAATGCTGAGTTTGCATTATATACATATACATGTACCAGCATGTCCCGAAACATTCAGAATACCAACGTTCAATATTGCCTCGTTGTAAACAAAAAATGTCGTCTGGTCAACCGCTCAATGACAATATTTATAAAGAGTAGGTAAGATCTGTCTATTCTCACACAAAATTAAAATTATTTATTCATAATTTAGTACTTATTAGCCTCAATAAAAACCTCAATAAGTAAATCATATAATGCTTGTTAAGGTCATCAGAATGATGTGATATTGAATGCTTACAGGAAAGATGATGATAGTGGACAATTTTAATTCTGAATTTAATTCTGATACTGAACTAAAATTTACTGACTATCAAATTTACTGAATATAATTGAAATGATTCATATAAATCAATTCAAAATGTTTTAGCTATATGATAAATGAGATATTGAACTTATATTAGTGAATATTGGCATGAGTTGGCTGTACAAATGCACTCGCAAGCTCGTACATTTGTACAGCCAATTTGTGCCAATATTCACCAATATAAGTTCAATACCCCTATATTTTTTTTTATATACTTACTAAATGTTTTGCAAAATATGCATTCAAATATAAAAAGTATTTTTGTAAGTATAAAAGATTTATGAAAAAGAGATTCTGATTTTGCATTAATGTTATATATTCATGCAGCATCCAGTTGGAGTTAAAGCCAAACGAATACCTGAGTAAGTAAATATCTTTGATACATTGAATACACTAGCTATGAAAATATAGAAATTTTATAAAAATGAACATTATATACTGAAACAAATATGAAACAGTTAATTGATAGGATGGTGATTGAGTAGTTCTTGGATGACTCTGAGCTTTTCTGATCACATTTTGTCTGTCCATCCATCTGTAAACTTTTCACATTTCAACTTTTTCTCAAGAACCACAGGGCCAATTTCAACGAAACTTGCCACAAAGCATCCTTGGGTGAAGGGGATTGAACTTTTTGTAAATAAAGTGCCTCTTTCAAGGGGAGATAATTAAGAATAAATTAAAATTTTTTGACATCTTTTAAAAATCCTCTTTTCAAGATCCAATGAGCCAGAAAAGTTGAAATTTGGAAGCTTATTATAGAGTATAAATTCACATTTGTTCAAATCAGGGGAGGGGACTTCAATAGGTGATTAAAGTTTTACATAGGAATATATAGCAACAAATCTTTCAAAATATTCTCAAGAACCACTGGGCCAGAAGAGTTGAACCTTATGTGAAAGCTTCATTCAATTTTGTGCAAATCTTGACACCCAGGGGTAGGGTGGGGCCACAATGGATGATCAATTTTACATAGGAATATATAGGAAAAACCTTTAAAAATCTTCTTGTCAAGAACAGCAAAGCCAGTTGATTAGTCATACTTATATTGAAGCATCCTTAGGAAGTGTAGATGCAAGTTTGTTCAATTCATGACCCCCATAGTTAGGGAGGGACCAAAATGGGCAATCAAAGTTTTACCTAGGAATATACAGGGAAAAAAATGTACTGATGAAGAATAGAAGGGAGATAGTGACTCAGATAAGTGTTGTGGCCCATGGGCCTCTTGTTATTTAAATTTTCAATTTCAATTGGAAGTACGAGTGAAAATATAAAAAAAATCCTGTCTCACAAATGAAATAAATTCCATATCCTACACTTCAAAACGTTGAATTTTCTGCTCCTGAAATTTTCACTGGTTCTTCTCCCTTTGTCTTCATTGCCTATTGGCTGTCTTTTCATAATGTAGTGGCATAGGCTGTGACAACATAGCTGAGTGGTTGTGAAAAGTCATAGCTAAGCAATTGTGAGGTTGAAAATTGTAAACATAGATTATAGTAATAATTTGGAGAAATTTAAGCAGTTTTAGTCAGTGTTAGGAATGGTTTATTCACTCTTGTTATCTATAGGGACTCCTGGAGAATTTTCTTTTACAGTCTTTATAAAAGGAAGGAGAATTTATCAATAAATTTATTTTCACAGTGAAAGTAACCACAGTGAAAATAACGCTTGTTATTTTCTCCGTGAAAATAACAAGTCTGTGAAAATATCAGACTGAGTTTTATTGAGTGCATAATATACAGTATTTCACTGTTGAAAATGTAATCAATTTATAAAAAAAAAAAAAAATTGGCATAAAAAGTTTAAGGGTTGGCAATTAAATATAGGGTCGGTCAGGAAAGTGGAAATTAACGTGTATTTTGTTTGGTCTAAGTTATATGTGCTTTAAAGGAGCACATTTATAGTATTTAAAATTCAGAGGAATCTTGTACATTCTCTTCTGTCTTTTCTTCAGACCTATGCTGAAATTGGTTATGTATGGCAATGATGGTGACACAACAGAGGTCATATGTCGTGAACTTAGTGACCTTGAGGATTATTATCAACCTTATAGCCCAGGTAGGTTTCATTGTACAACAGAGAAATTGTTTATTCCTTATAAAAATATACAATTCATTGTTACTGTCTTGAAATATATGTAATATAAGCACTATTTGGGTGAGGGTAAGAAAACATGATGGAAGGCAGGGCTTGCTGCACCCTGTATCACATTTTTGACCCGTGCCTAAATATCGCTTATATTTCAAGACAGTTATCATGTATTTTGATTATCCTGCAACATACTTTTACATTTGACCTCCAAACAAGCTTTTTTAAAAAAAAAATTAAGTACATTTCTGCAGTTGAAACTCTGACATCTTGGCATAACAATGCAGTTTAGCCTATATGAAGTTGATGCTTTTAAAGACATAGGAATGCAGGAGGCTTTGTTTCAGCATTGACAGAATATAGCTTTGGTTTATTAGCTTACCTTTATATGGTCAATGCAATTGGTGATTGCAAGATAAATAATAAATGTGTATTAAAAAGGAAAAGAGTTTTTCAGTAGGTAGGCCTTACAAAATAAACCATTACTATATACTCTCTGAAGGCTTTAGTAAGCTTTTCTTGATTGAAGTTTGAGTTTTGTCTTTGCCATCTCAGTACTGTATTTATATTTTTTAACAACCAAACTGATTCAAGGGCTATATAGATGAATGGTTGTGACCTGAAGAGATGTGAAAATACAATGGTATATGTTAAATAAAAAATTTCACCAGAGCCACTAGGTCAAAAAAGACAAAATGGTCATAGACAACCAAAAAAGTGCACAAAGTTGTCAACCACAGGTAGTTTTCAAAGTATTTCATATTAATAATGAGGGAAGGGAATTGAATTTTGGCATAACATAAACTAAATATTTTTATTTGGCATAAACTAAAAAATTTTATTTTCATGGTAGAAAACCTTTAAGTAATGGCTTCTTTTGCTAGAGTGGAGTCATGGAAAGGTTAAAAGTTTTCAGGAGTATGTGGGGAAGACTTATAAATATGTTCTACAAAATATCAGGTCACATAGATTCTGGCTAATATTTAAACTTGAATACACATGTATTGATAAAGCTTAAGCATTTCCATATTATTTAGATTTACATTTATTGGTAAGTCATTTCCATTGGAGTGAGGTCACAGTTGAGGTAAAATGATTAACAAAGCTAGAACTTGTAAACTATAGCAAGCATTAACATAACAGTTAACAATAAGAAGTTCCCTATGTATTCATCAGTTTGGAAGAGAAATGTGACACGATTGATGTGACACCAGTGAACACAGGTATAAAAAAAAATGTTATTGTCCAAGGGTCTCGTATGTTTATAAATGTGTTGATAAATTGTATACCTACCGGATTTGCTGATCATAAACAATGTGCATTGACTTTTAAGTATTTTTAAATGCCTTGGTAATCATTGTAAGCAGCATTTCTGGTTATGAATTAATAATTTAAGTTTACATTCTGTGGAATCAAAATAAGTGTTCAAACTGCATGTAGAAAAATAATGTGGACTTCTTGGAATACCATGTACATGTGTAAATTAATCCCACACAGAAAAACGTACTACGGTATATGATTTCCTGTTGATTACAGTTGACATCTGGATTTTTTCCACCTGTTAATTTATGATCTCAGTGATATAAATGAAAATGCACCCAAACCCAAATGATTCAAAAAAACAAAATGATTCAACGCAAATCAAAAAGCTCAAGGAAAAAATTCATTTGAATCTACAAAACATGGGAGAAGAAATCAATCTATATCTAAGGAAGTTAAGGGGATGAAGGACACATGGTCACATGACTCTGTTTAACTATGTCATAGTCTCTGTTTATATAAGTGTAAAACGTGTAAACCATCAGTTCTTGTGTAAATTTTTGACAATTTTTAAACTTTAATTACCATCTTATATAAAAAAAAAAAAAAATGAAAAAAGTTTTAACATTCTTGTAAACATTACAAATTATGAAAAAGATTGATCCACTCCTCCGTCTCCCTAAACTGCACATCCAACAAGTTGGCGACGTCATACACGATCTGTTAGTACAGCAAGATCATACACGGTGAACACAGGGGCGGTATTATTATGTAAAAACAGGTCATAATCAGTATATGATGAAATATTTTGAGAAACAGGGAACACAAAAATTATTTTTGCATGGCTGATGACGGAAATATTATGTAGGTATATCTTATTTCGCTTATTTAGCTTACGTGTGATGTCATAGTTGGTTTTTCCCGTACTCGAGAAATGTAGCATTACACAATTTTGTCATGCTTTTGTCCTCTTTAACGATGTCCTGTGAAATATTGAGGTCAGCTTTACCATTAGAAATTTTTACAGTTAATCAATAATTTGAAGGATTTGCATTTCAACGTAAATTAAAAAACATTGAATCATGATAGAGTTTTTTGTAAATAACATTTTTTATTGTTTAAGTTGTCTTAAAAAGTGCATAATTTTCGCTATCCAGATGCATTGTGATAGAAGAAACTTGCTTTTTTCGAATTTTAAACCCTATTTATACCCTGAAATATTTTAAAAGATACACATCCACTTTAATATTTTATGTATATGCTTAAAAAATCCCATTATGGACAGAGGAGTAATGAGCCTGGAAACATGGAGAATTAATTTAAAACTCCACTTAGATACTGTAGGGTATAGTATTTGTCATTCAATTATCTCCAAAATAAGGTAAGAAACTTAATGATGTAACTGCTTCAAGATATGTGGGATATTATGTAAATATTGCATGTAGTTGAGTGTAACATTGAAAATTTTCACCCCAAGGTGAAAATTTTCAATGTTACACTCAATTACATGCAATATTTATTATACTGAATGTTTTATACAAATACATATAACAGTGAATCTTGTGCGCATAAATTCTGCGCAGTCACTATTTTTTTAGAATATCACCCGTCGTCAAGCAATGTTAAATGTTGCTCGCTGGAGGACTTGGCTTCATTATTCAGCGGGTAATAGTGTTTTTTAACAAATGTTTCTCGACGAATCAGATTCAACTAATTTACATGAAAGTATAATATACTTAATTAGACATATGCAAAATTTGAAAAAAATTGAATTACAATTTTTTTTTTCAGCTCAAGGTCCTTCTCCTCCTTAAACCATATCAAAGAAAGTTTCCATCTTGAATTCTTTCTTTGACTTTTGAATTTTTGTCAGTTTTCTAGTAATCCCTGTTGATGCTCCTATTTATTCCTTATAAGGAAGAGTGACTGTTTAAGTCATTATTTATAAGATAACTCCTTATATAGATATTGAGGAATGTGTGACTCAGCAGATTTTCTGTTCAGATTGTTACATACCTACATATATAGATCCATCCTTTATTTAATCATATTGAAACACATGTTTAGATAAACAAGTATACCTTTAAAGAAATCATTGGGAAATGCTTATTTACTCTTCAGTTTTTAGCTCACATACCAGAGCTAAATGATCTTAAGAACCACAGAAACAGTTTTAATCAAACTTGTGGTAAATTGTCTTTGGCTGGAGAGTATGTATAAATTATAATTTTAAAAACAAAATGTGTGCATTATATACTTCCAAAAGGTATATTAAAAAACCCACAAATACTTCATTTAATAAATTGATGTCTCATTACGACCCCTTCTGCATCACAATACAATGATGTCTCGATGCCTTGTTACACACTTTTTAATATATACATGATATATATCAAAAAAAATCTCAAAAGAACTACTTAGCCATGGATAGTTACAGAAGTCATATGTCATAGAAGTATTCAATCTTTTCTTTAATTTTAGCTCATCTTGATAAAGTTGGGATGAGCTTATGCTATTTCCCTGGTGTTGGTATGGATGTTCCGGTTTAAATTAAATGAGCAATTCTTTTGTCAGGTGACTATAAGTCATATTTGGACCAAACTTACATTGATGATACATATAGGGATACACACTACCAGACTTGTTTCAGATGCTGAATCTGATCTACATTTTTTAGATGATTGGACAGGTTAAAGACTTTGTAACTGGTCCATTCCAAAGTAAATATTAAGTTTACTTGGACCACACTTGTATGGAAGATGAATCTAGGGATGGATTCTATCCAACATGCTTAGGATGCTGACTTGGACCTTTGAATGTTGAAGTTCCCAGGAAAAAAATCAGAGATTTGCAGAAATGTCAAAAACTTCACAAAGAATTAACTTTTCCCAATATTCTGTGTATAGTAAATTTTTCTTTAACACTTATCATATATTTCCAATGACTATATAAGAACATCATTCACTTAAGGTTTGGAAAAAAAATCTTGTTCATTAATTGAAATTGAAAGCTTTAAGGTTTTGTACATATAAGTATTGCATCTAGTTGAGTGTAACATTGAAAATTTTCACCCCAAGAAAACAATTGTCAACCGAGGCACAGCTGAGGTAGACAATGGTTTTCAAGGGGTGAAAATTTTCAATGTTACACTCAACTACATGCAATATTTATTATATTATACTGAATGTTTTATAAAAATACATATTACAGTGAACCTTGCATGCATAAATTCTGTGCTGTCAATAATTTTTTGAATAACACCCATCGTCAAGCAATGTTGACTGTTGCTACGCTGAAGGGCGTGGCTTCATTATTCAGCGGGTAGTAGTGTTTTTCAACAAATGTTTTTCGATGAATCAGATTCAACTAATTTACATGAAAGTATAATATAACATATTATTGTATGATTAATGCATATAGTAAATGTATAGAAAAATTCTTTAGTACATTTAACACCTTATTTGATAATATTTACATTTCCAAGTTTTTTTATGCCCCGCCATGAATATGGCCGGGGCATATAGTATTTGTCATGTCCGTCTTCCATCCTTCCGTCTGTCCTTCCGTCACACTTTGCGTTTAGCTCTGTTCAAAGAAACTATCCAAGATATTTTTATCAAACTTCATATGCTGATAGATATTGATGAGAGCTATGCAACTGCATCAACATTTTTTGACCTTGACCTTTCCTTTGACCTTGACCTCACTTTTCTTAAATTAGTGTTTAGCTCAGTTTTAAAGATGCCATTCAAGATGGTGTAATCAAACTTCATATGCTGATACATACTGATGAGAGCTATTCAACTGCATCAACATTTTTTGACCTTGACCTTTCCTTTGACCTTGACCTCACTTTTCTTAAATTAGTGTCAAACTTCATATGCTGATAAATACTTGTGAGAGCTATTCAACTGCATCAATATTTTTTGACATTGACCTTTCCTTTGACCTTGACCTCACTTTTCTTAAATTAGTGTTTAGCTCAGTTTTAAAGATACTATTCATAATAGTTTTATCAAACTTCATATGCTGATACATACTGATGTAAGCTATTCAACTGCATCAATATTTTTTGACCTTGATCTTTCCTTTGACCTTGACCTCACTTTTCTCAATTTGTGTTAAAATGTTGCATTACTAATATACCCTCGGCGGGGCATTCATGTCCTATGGACATATTTCTAGTTCCTTAAGATTCTTTGCAAATTAGAAGATTGTTCATTTTCTCATGAACTACTATAAGATGAGCATGAATATCTCCATTGTTACGTCATAATACCATACGTGATGTCAAAACTATAGTGCAAACTGTTTTACTTCAAAAATGACAGTTGAATGGCGTAACTTGTGGAAACTCATCAGAAAAATAATGTAAATATAAGAAATGAATTAATTTTTGAAAATTCATGAGGTACATGAACTACAACGCTTCAAACTGGCATATTTATCATGAAGCGCTAACGCGCTTCATGAAATATGCCGGCGTGAAGTGTCGTAGTTCATGTCCTCATGAATCTTCAAAAATTAAATTCATTTCTTAATTAAAACATTTTAGGTCAATCTGTGTACTGAACAGATTGGTCCATCACATCAACAGTGAACATAGCCAATTGCCTAAAAAATCAAAGAAAACATGGAAAATTGCAAGTCTCGAATTTTGAAAAGACTTTAATCAAAGCAAAACATTTATGCAAACAAACTGATATTAGCTAATGAAATTAATTACTCCCACATGACAAGAATTCCCTATACCAAACTATCCTTGACCAAATAATTCTAACAATTCTATATTGCCAGGGAATTTCAAATTATTCTGAATAACTTGTAATCCTTGTTTCCAAAGTTTTTTTAGATAGTATTTTCTTATTCCTTGCCCCATTTGCTTTATTTCTAGGAGCGTTGCTTAAAGCGTCGTTTATCTGTGCAGACATTGTGAGTTTAACTTCCTCCAGGTCCCTAAAGGAGCAATTAATGGAGGGATATGGAGGAGGGTTTGAAATCCACAGTTGGTCAGTGTTGCCTCAGGGATCAGGTATGATGGATTATTTCATTGTTAAGTTACAATGAACTCAATTATTTTCATAAACAGAATTATTTTCTTGTATCATGTAGATTTGTCAAATCTTTCAAAATTCAGTAATTACAGTCAAACCTTATTATCTTGAACTCAATGGGACCAAGAAAAAAACTTTGAGATATCCGAGGAATCGAGATATTCAGGGTAAAATACTTAAAGAATGAGAGGTTGGGACTTCCAAATCTGTGGTATTCAAGATACCTACCCATTACTAGGTTACCAGGTACTTGCTAAAAACAAAAAAAGATTGACTCTTGTACTCATTGTCGAAATATTGCAAACATCAGCAGAAGCAAAATAAGCATCAGCTTTCAGCATCAAATAAGTTAGGATCAGCATTAGCATTGTCAGCAAGCAAAAAAAAAAAAAAATCCAGATTGAACTAGTATGGCTAGCATTGGCATACTTTAAATCAGCATTGGCCTATTAGCATCACAAAAGCACCAACTTTTTTTCAGTCAAAATAGGAAAAGAGACAAAGAAAATTACTTATTTCAAAATACTGTAAACTGAATTAAATTAGCGCACTCAAAATTCAGTGCAATTCAGACCTCTTCAACTTATTAGTGCAAGAATGAATAAGTGACAAGAGTTTTTTCCATGACATGTATTAGTTTTAATCATATAAATCAGAGGATTAGAAGAAGTGAAAAAGGCACCAAAATATGATTATCACCAAATTAAGAATTTTTACAGTATTCATATAATAAAATATGATTACCAAGTCATTATATAACACATTTTTAATGCTGAAAACTCTAGTGCTGAAACTCAATTACTGTAAACCAAGTATTATACACCATTTCTGATGAACAACCATTAGTGACGATAAATGTTGGTGAGCATAGGTTGATTGTGAATCTCACAGAGGTTTATTGCACAGGTATAAATACACTGTACTTGGTTTACAGTATTGACTTTTGCTAGCGTTATTCTACTTCTGGCAGCATTAATATTGACTTTTTAACCAGCAGTGGTACCATCAGGATAATGAGCATTACAAGCATTAAATCAGCAAGCAAAGGATTAAAGAAAATCTGCATTGATGGCTCTAGTTGCATTAAAAGTTTAAACTTTATTATATTAAACTTATTCATAGAGAAGTTCAACTTTCAAGATTAAACTTTTAATTTAACACTGAAACAAAAATAGTTCCTGGCACTGTATTCTGCAGACAGGAAAAACCAAACATTTTTTTGAGGACTTCACTTTCATTACAGATACCTTGATTACCAAGTGTAAAATAAAAATATGATTTTTTTTAATTTTTCTTTTATGTTAATGAAGCATGTTTTATTTAAGTTCCTATATTGTGTAGGTAGTGCTCTGATTTAATTGCTTTTCAGTTTCAGCAACCACATACATCAGACTGACCTCAAATCAAAGTCAATTTTTTTATTTGGTAAAAGTTAATTTTTGCTTTTTTTTTTTCTTTTTTTCTTTTTTTTTTTTACAATTTAAGTTTTTGAAGCATGGCTTTCATATTTGGTAGAAAAATAACCTTTCTTATTCAACATTCTTATCATAAGCTTGACCTCGGTTCAAAAGAAATTCAATAGGTCAGGTCAAATTACATGTAATATGAGGATGATTTTAAATTCTTTCAAGTTTATTTTGTAATGATTTGAAATAGTTTTATACTCTTCTGAGGTAAAGTTTTTCTAATCAAATGGATTTTTTCTTACTGGACTACATACAAGGTCCAGAGTTACTACTCATCATGGTGACAAGGGTTAATGTCGATACTAAGCACAGAAACTGCAAATATTGGTTATAGTTTTCTTGATCAACATAGCTTTGGATGTCTGCAGAGCATAATTAAGTTTTAGTTATGTGGAGAGGGTCCTTATCTAGCATTATAAAGATTACTCATCAGTACTTAAAATTGTAAGTTGACAGAAATTTGGGAATTGAAGGGGGGTGGGGGGTGTGTGGGGGTGGTAAGCACCCACTACCTCTTTATGACAGAGAATTTTGAAATCAACTCATTTTCAACTTCAGAGAACAAATTTAAACTTATTAACGCATGTTTTTTTACTGTCTTGTTTTTTTTATATTCAACAGTAACAGATAATATATAGCTTCAAGACTCCTAGACATATACTTTTCCAAACTTTGTAATGAATGCAATTTTATTTTGTAATACATTTTTACACAGTCTTTTTACCAGTTGCAAAGATGATTTTTTCCATTTCAACATATTGAAAAGTTAACAGAATTTCTCATTGGCAGCATATCAAAACATCTTTACAAGGCTATAGACATACAAAAATTTAGAATTTGTCTGCTTTGTTAGTTATGGGGACTAGCACAAAGTATTAGAAATATGTCTGCTTTGATAGGTATAAGAACCAACCCAAAGAGTTACAATGGGGACAAGCTCAAATTATTACAATATGTCTGCTTTGATAGGTATGGGGTCCAGCAAAAAAATTATAATACAAGTGCTTTTTTAGGTATATTAAGGGGACAAGCACAAATTATTCAATATGTCTGCTTTGTTAGATATGGGGATCAGCACAAAATGTTACAATATTTCTTCTTTGTTAGGTATGGGGACCAGCAGCATTTTAGCAGGAGCTGTAATGGCAGCTATTTTGAGAGCTTCAGGAAAAACTTGTGACAAGAAAGGGCTGATTCATGCTGTAAGTTGTTAAATGTATTAACATTTGTAATATTTGAGATTCAATAATCTATTAAAATCCCACATCAAATGCAAGCACTTATCATTATTTCAGAGCCAAAGTTTTCAGTGAAATATTTTGATAAAAAAAATTTCATGTATTGAGTCTGCCATAAAATTGTGTCATTTAGTACTATATTTCTTTTTAAAAAAACTTCACAGAAACATGAAACATGCAAAGTTTCATATTTCTCACACAAAATAAAACTTGGTGTACAGTATTTTTAAATCTATCATTTGCATGAATTAAGATCTCTAAATGAATCTGCGTTTAATAGAATGATAATGTATTTTTCTATTTTATTTACACACTTTTGTCAGGTGCTGTACTTGGAACAGTTGTTAACTACAGGTGGTGGTTGGCAGGACCAGGTTGGGGGTCTCATGGGGGGAATTAAAATAGGACTGTCAGAGGCCAAACTTCCTATCGCTGTAGAAGCAGTAGACCTGAAGGTGTCTCCAGAGGTCATACAAGCTGTGAATGAGAGACTCCTATTGATCTACACTGGAAAGACTCGATTGGCTCGTAATCTTCTACAGGTAAGAGTATACTCCTACCTATGTATACTAGAAAGACCCCACTGGCTTGCAATCTTCTACAGATAAGACTAAACTCTCATTCATACAGTCAAACCTCGTTATCTCAAACTCGATGGGGTCAAGAAAATACTTTGAAATTTCTGAGGGTTCAAGATATTGAGGGTAAAATACTTAAAGAGAAAGGGCTTGGGGCTTTCAAATCATTTCAGCATATCCATGATATTCAAGATATCTGTGTTTGAGATATATCAAAGTTCAGGAAAAAGTCCTGTCCCATTTGTGAAATAAATGCCATATTCAACCAGAAAGCATTGAATATCATCTATTTATTATACCTCATTATAATTATTTTATACAATGCATTATCTGATTGGTTCTAGATTGTCATGTGACAGGGCCATAAAACTTCATATTTCCCTGTCATCATCATGCTTTTCATCATATTTAACCTCTTCAGACACCTCGTGCATTTTCCCGGGATAATATTGTTCTTTAAATGAAAACTCCCAAGAGCAGCAGATGTCGCAAGTGCTGAATGTTTCATCTCTAAAGCAATTGACGAAATTGTTGGTCCTCTTTTTAATAGAAATACTTAAAGAAACAAACAAACAAATCAGAATGAGAAGTGTCTAAGGAACTTCAGTAAAGTGTTTCAGTAATATTACGTTAAAACTGAAAGTGAATTGTTTAGAGTGGTGCCAAATTTGAAATTTTGTGTTTATTTTTTAAGGCTTTCCTTGTTCGGTATAATAAACAATTTATTGCATGAAAGGAAACGACGGCAAAGCCCTCGGGAATATAATTTTTCTTGGCTGAATAATTCTTCATATTTCCCTCACAATCATGCAATAAATGTATAGTATCATCTGTTGGATCTAGTGGATATTTCTTGAGTTTCCACTTTGGGGTTACTAAATATACTTCTTTATAAGCAGATAATTGCTTTTAGCTGTTTGCTGTAAAATTGTCTGCATGTATATATATATAATAAATTTTAACTAAATGCACTGCCAATCATATCAGAAACCTCATTTATAACATGTCTGATTAATTATAAGACTAGTACATGTATATATTAAACTGTTTTTAGCTACTTAATTAGCCACACCAGGGGGTATGATTTTGATCAGGAATCAGCTTGTTTCCAGGGGATATTGTTCTGTTGTTTAACATTTAAATTAATTATGTTTTTCAGAGTATCTAGACATTAGAATATAATTTATCATGTAAAAAACAAACTCTAATAGCTTCTTATATAATATTGTGTCTGCCATAGCAAGTCCTCATTTAAATCTGACTATTCAGTATAGTTAAAGGTGATACCCAAAACATTGATGGAAGTGTCTGATTTGGGCTGCAGATCCCAGGTTATATGCCACACTCTCTTGTAACATTATCCTATACTTGAGTTCAAAATCTTAACTCATAAGTTCCTTTAAAAGGTTTTTATACAATAAAAAATGGCATTATTTTACATGGTGAGTGCAAATGCATCTTTATTCAAATTACAAAATTACAGCTTTGCAGAGTTACAGAAACTATGTCATATATAAATGTGGTCTCTTGGCAACCCAGAATGGTTTATTTAAAAAAAGGAATGCAAAATTGCATTTTTACTGAAATAAAAAGAAGAACAGGTAGAATGAAATATTTAGCAATTACATTATTTGTTACAATGAGTGCATAAAATTTTGCTGACTGTAAAAATAACAGCTGTTTTATAAAAGTGATTTAATCTTGTCTGTTGACATTTATGTTCTGTTCTATATGATTTTTCATGTGTTTTTAAGAAAACAGGAGATGTTTGGTAATGAACTTCTTTATAACTTCCAGAAGATCAGATAGTGGAACAAGAGTGTGTAACAGGCATATTACATGTAAATGATCTCTTGTTCAACCATGCAATCACTGACAAATCAATCATACTATGTCTATATATAGGTACACCAACAGTACAATCACTGACAAGTCCAATCATTCTATGTCTATATATAGATACACCAACATTACAATCACTGACAAATCCAATCATTCTATGTCTATATATAGGTTCACCAACAATACAATCACTGACAAGTCCAATCATACTATGTCTATATATAGGTTCACCAACAGTACAATCACTGACAAGTCCAATCATACTGTGTCTATATATAGGTACACCAACAGTACAATCACTGACAAGTCCAATCATACTATGTCTATATATAGGTACACCAACAATACAATCACTGACAAGTCCAATCACACTATGTCTATATGTAGGTACACCAATACTACAATCACTGACAAGTCCAACCATACTATGTTTATATATAGGTACACCAACAGTACAATCACTGACAAGTCCAATCATTCTATGCCTATATATATAGGTTCACCAACAATACAATCACTGACAAGTCCAATCATTCTATGCCTAAATATAGGTTCACCAACAGTACAATCACTGACAAATCCAATCATACTATGTCTATATATAGATTCACCAACAGTACAATCACTGACAAGTCCAATCATACTGTGTCTATATATAGGTTCCCCAACAGTACAATCACTGACAAGTCCAATCATACTGTGTCTATATATAGGTTCACCAACAGTACAATCACTGACAAGTCCAATCATACTATGTCTATATATAGGTACACCAACAGTACAATCACTGACAAGTCCAATCATACTATGTCTATATATAGGTACACCAACAATACAATCACTGACAAGTCCAATCACACTTTGTCTATATGTAGGTACACCAATACTACAATCACTGACAAGTCCAACCATACTATGTTTATATATAGGTACACCAACAGTACAATCACTGACAAGTCCAATCATTCTATGCCTATATATATAGGTTCACCAACAATACAATCACTGACAAGTCCAATCATTCTATGCCTAAATATAGGTTCACCAACAGTACAATCACTGACAAATCCAATCATACTATGTCTATATATAGATTCACCAACAGTACAATCACTGACAAGTCCAATCATACTGTGTCTATATATAGGTTCCCCAACAGTACAATCACTGACAAGTCCAATCATACTGTGTCTATATATAGGTTCACCAACAGTACAATCACTGACAAGTCCAATCATACTATGTCTATATATAGGTACACCAACAGTACAATCACTGACAAGTCCAATCATACTATGTCTATATATAGGTACACCAACAATACAATCACTGACAAGTCCAATCACACTATGTCTATATGTAGGTACACCAATACTACAATCACTGACAAGTCCAACCATACTATGTTTATATATAGGTACACCAACAGTACAATCACTGACAAGTCCAATCATTCTATGCCTATATATATAGGTTCACCAACAATACAATCACTGACAAGTCCAATCATTCTATGCCTAAATATAGGTTCACCAACAGTACAATCACTGACAAATCCAATCATACTATGTTTATATATAGGTACACCAACAGTGCAATCACTGACACATCCAATCATACTATGTCTATATATAGATACACCAACAATACAATCACTGACAAGTCCAATCATTCTATGTCTATATATAGGTTCACCAACAGTGCAATCACTGACACATCCAATCATACTATGTTTATATATAGGTACACCAACAGTGCAATCACTGACACATCCAATCATACTATGTCTATATACAGGTTCACCATCAATACAATCACTGACAAGTCCAATCATACTATGTCTATATATAGGTACACCAACAATACAATCACTGACAAGTCCAATCATACTATGTCTATATATAGGTACACCAACAATACAATCACTGACAAGTCCAATCATTCTATGCCTATATATAGGTTCACCAACAATACAATCACTGACAAGTCCAATCATTCTATGCCTATATATAGGTAGACCAACAGTACAATCACTGACAAGTCCAATCACACTATGTCTATATATAGGTTCACCAACAATACAATCACTGACAAGTCCAATCATACTATGAAGCAAAAATGTACAAGGATCCATTGTCTATACTTATTGTCTACAGGGGTACTAAGACATACATTATTCAAAGTTTTTCAAAATAAGCCTGATGTTGATTCACCTCTGTGCTTAACCTGTGAGTTAAGTGAGGGACTAGTGTACCTAATACAATGTTGTTTTAACCTGTGAGTTAGGTGAGGGACTAGTTTACCTAATATAATGTTGTTTTAACCTGTGAGTTAAGTGAGGGACTAGTTTACCTAATATAATGTTGTCTTAACCAGTAAGTAAAGAGAGGGACTAGTTTACCTAATACAATGTTGTCTTATCCTGTGAATTCAGTGAGGGACTAGTTTACCTAATACAATATTGTCATAACCTGTAAGTTAAGGGAGGGACTAGTTTACCAAATACAATGTTGTCTTAACCTGTGAGTTAGGTGAGGGACTAGATTACCAAATACAATGTTGTCTTAATCTGTGAGTTAGGTGAGGGACTAGTTTTCCAAATACAATGTTGTCTTAACCTGTAAGTTAAGAGAGGGACTAGTTTACCTAATATAATGTTGTCTTAACTTGTAAGTTAAGTGAGGGACTAGTTTACCAAATATAATGTTGTCTTAACCTGTGAGTTAAGTGAGGGACTAGTTTAACTTATACAATGTTGTCTTAACCTGTAAGTTAAGTGAGGGACTAGTTACCTAATACAATGTTGTCGTAACCTGTGAGTTAAGTGAGGGACTAGTTTACCTAATACAATGTTGTCTTATCCTGTGAGTTAAGTAGGGACTAGTTTACCTGATATAATGTTGTCTTAACCTGTGAGTTAAGTGAGGGACTAGTTTACCTAATACAATGTTGTCATAACCTGTAAGTTATGAGAGGGACTAGTTTACCTAATACAATGTTGTCTTAACCTGTGAGTTAAGTGAGGGACTAGTTTACCTAATACAATGTTGTCTTAACCTGTAAGTTAAGTGAGGGACTAGTTTACTTAATACAATGTTGTATAATCCTGTGAATTCAGTGAGGGACTAGTTTACCTAATACAATGTTGTCTTAACCTGTGAGTTAAGTAGGGACTAGTTTACCTGATATAATGTTGTCTTAACCTGTGAGTTAAGTGAGGGACTAGTTTACCTAATACAATGTTGTCATAACCTGTAAGTTATGAGAGGGACTAGTTTACCTAATACAATGTTGTCTTAACCTGTGAGTTAAGTGAGGGACTAGTTTACCTAATATAATGTTGTCTTAACCTGTGAGTTAAGTGAGGGACTAGTTTACCTAATATAATATTGTCTTAACCTGTGAGTTAAGTGAGGGACTAGTTTACCTAATACAATGTTGTCTTAACCTGTAAGTTAAGGGAGGGACTAGTTTTCCAAATACAATGTTGTCTTAACCTGTGAGTTAGTGAGGGACTAGTTTACCTAATACAATGTTGTCTTTGACAAAGTACCTCTTTAATTCTGATTTGATGCCAGCTGATATTTCATGCATTTTTTACAAATATAAACTTCTATTACCTTCTTCATAATTATCTATTCAGTTGTATTAATTTTTATCTAAGTAAATAATGCCAGTACAAATTTTACTCTGTTTTTTGCTATGATTTTACTATGTCTTTCACTTTGATTTTTTTATGTTTTACAGGAGGTAGTGAGGAACTGGTATGCTAGAAATCCAAACATAGTAGAAACAGAGAATGCCTTAGTGGTGTTAGCACAGGATTGTGCCCATGCATTTATTGATGGTATTACAGTATTACTTTGGCTAAAAATAAAAGCATCTCATCATTGGATACTGATAATTATTGTATCTCCCATTAATTATCAAGTATGTTTCATCACTCCCTGTTGTTCTTTTTTTTCATGTTCTTGACATGATATGAAACACCTAGAGTGAATCTAATTGGCTGCTTACACCTAGGATGATTCTGATTGGCCACTTTATGCAAGTGAGTTAAAGCTAGGTAAAGGTGTTTTTATGCAACTGAACAAATAAAAACACATAAGGCTTATACCTATTATACAGGGAAAGTTAAAAACTTGTTATTATTCTAATCCATACTTGGTAGCCACGACATGTGATAGCCATCACACATTATGTCGTCATATTATGATGTCATTGTTCTCTACTTCATCAGGTTATAAGGAACATCAACAAAATAGTTTCGGTGCAAGGGCATAATCTATTTAATTTTACAGAAGCAAGGTGTAATTAGAAGCAGAATATTCCAAGGATTGATGATAAATTCAAATTATTTAGTAACAATTTGTAAAGCTTTGAGATGAAACAGGGTAAAAATTCACTGTCAGGTGAAGTTTCCTCAAATTCTTATCAAATGCGAAAAGGATTTGTGCAGTAATTTTAATGTCATAGTGTATACTGGCTATAACATGTCATGGGTACTAAGTGTGTATGAGAAAATGAATTTAAACTTTCTCTGTATAAAAGATATACCTCATGCGTTTTTATTAGCTCATTTGCTTGCCTATACCAAGCCTTAACTCACTTGCATTATGCTTCATGTTTCAAAGTGAACATAAACAAATGGTAAAATGAACAAGTTCTTGTTTGTATAATGGGAGAAAAAGGTCACATAACCAGGGCTAGTTAGTAACTGTTTTTTTTCAAACTCTTGAACCTTTGATAGAAATGAGTTCAAACTTAACATGCTGTTGTGCATGACCAGAGGGTCTGTCAAGCTCAGGGTCACTGAGGTCATTGAGATATTGATTCAGAAATGGTGTTTTAGGGCTATTACTCTCAATCCTTGACTGGAAAAGGTTCAAAGTTGAGTGATTTCTTGCCAATGACTTAAAAGATTAGTCATTATTTTGAATCAAGGTCATATTTCAAAGGTCAAGGACACTTGATAAAGATGTTTTGAAATCACAGCTAGGCCATAACTCTAGAATCATCAATTTGAATATTCCTGTATTAGATATTGAGTATGTTATTACTGAAGATCAGCAGGTTTGAAATGGATTTGACTCAAGATCTTAGTTCTAAAGTTCAAGGTCACTGAAATATAAGTTTTTGAAATTGTGTCTGCACCATTACACTGGAACCCTTGATTGAATTGTTGCGTATGACATAAAAATGTGTCATCATCTTGGCTCAGGGTCACATATCAATCTTACAATGAAACAGTATCCTTAAATTACCGGTATAAGTAAAAGGTCACTGACTGTTAGCACATAACACATTGATTGATATTGACAGGTGATCTACAAAAAGTGGGATCCTGTCTTGACAAGTATTGGTCAATGAAGAAAATTTTAGCCCCTGGATGTGAGACACCCACCATTGCTAAGCTGATGGCAGCAGCCCGACCTTTTGCTTACGGCATGTGTATGGCAGGAGCAGGAGGAGGAGGCTTTCTTTATGTGTTAACGAAAGACATGAACCACAAACACTTATTGCTGGACATCCTCGGAACAGTGGAGGTATTTTGTCTAGGTGTCATTACATTAACAGACCTGAGAGGCAAATTACCTCAGTCTCTAATTACTATTGTTTAGGGGAAATAACTCACAATATAAATATTTACTCTGTCTACTTTGTTACTTAATCTGTGAATTCAACACTTAATGGATATAACGAATTATGTTTATAACAATGCAAAATTGTCCATCCCTGGCACTTCGCGATAAGCATGTTTTACTCTACCAAGGCTTATGGAAATCAAAGCATTTTGACAAAATTTTACAAATTCTTTATTATGAACATTGGCAACACCATTCACTGAAATCAAAAACTGATATAAAGATTTTTTTATCTTAATGTACATGTAGTCTACTTATGTAGAAAGTTATATTAAAACTAGACCAAAACTGTAGGAGAAGTAGTATTTTGAATGTTTGAAAACCAAGGGGAATGAAAATTTGTTTCACTATAAGCGTAAATTCATTATAACCGTGTTCACTATAAGGGTGTTTTACTGTACACAAGTAGATTACTTAAGATATTTAATTTTTTTTATATTGGTTTTGGATTTTGACAAATGATTTTGCCATTGTATCTTAAAATAAAAATTTCTGTGAAACACTTTCAAAAAGGCTAGTTTTATGAGGTCACCTGAGTCACTCGGGTGACCTATTACTATCTGTGTTTGTCCATTGTCATGTGTAGTCCATCATGAGTCATGCGTTAACATTCAAACATTTTCAGCTTCTTCTCTGGAACAGCTTAACCAATTTCAACCAATTTTGGCATACAGAAGCTCTGGTGAAGGGAAACAAAAATTTTGAATTTCATGGTCCCTGCCCTCCTGGGGCCTTAGTGGTGGGATTAAAACCATCAAAATTAGTGCTATCTTTAAAAATCTTTCTTCTTTTACATTACTTCTGAGCATCAAGCAGTCCAGCTCTTTGTATGATTGTAATATGCATTGAATCCTCTACAAAAATTTGGAAATTTGTAGCCCCAGGGTCAGGGGTTCTGGAGTTAGAATGGGGCTCTAATGATAATTTAGTAAAATTGCATAAATTCTTTAAACCCCCCCCCCCCCTCCGTATATAAAGCAGATAAACTTTGGGCATGGTTATAATGATCAAGGGTGCCTCTTCCAAAATTATGAAATTTTGGGCCTCAGGGTGAGTGGTTCTGCATGAAGGGGACTCTGTTGTTTTTATACTGAAAGTACATTATTTCTTTGAAAATCTTCTCTGCTCCTGTGTATTAAGCAAACAAACAATATACATAGTTATGAAGAGCAAGGGTGCCTCTTCCAAAACTGAATTTCATGGCCCCTGGGTCAGGGGTTCTGGTGTTAGGGCAGAACTCTTATGACTATATAGTGAAAATGCATTAATTCTGTGAAAATCTTCTTCTCTGCTCTTAGGTCTTTAGCAGATAAACAAAGTGCATGGTTATGAAGATCAAGAATGCCTCTTTCAAGATTTTGAAATTTGTGACCCCATGGTCAAGGGTTCTTCTCTGCTACTGGGTCTTAAGCAAAGAAACCAAGTAAATAGTTATGATGAGCATGGGTGCCTCTTTTAAAATTGTGAATTTCATGGCTTCCGGGTATTAGACTAAGAGGTTAAAGAGTTAGGGAAGGGTTCTATTGATTATAGTAAAATTGCATTAATTTTTTGAAAATTTTCTTCTCTGTTCCTGGGCATTTAGCAGATAAAGCAAGTGCATGGTTATGACACCTTATTTTTGTACATTAAATGTTCTTCAAAGATTAAGAGAGGCCATTGTAAGAGGGAATGACATGGGTTTACTATGTAATAGAGCTCAATAATTCAAAGATGTGAACTTATTTTCCATTGATTTGGACATTAAGCAAACAATTAAATTATATGATTATAATGAAATTCCTGTCTCCTGAAGCTAGAGTTCCAGTCCCTGTTGGGGCTGAGTTGGTCAAATGAAGAGAAACTCTTGATACTCAGATGACTCTCAAGGCCCGTGGGTTCTTATTATTTAATTTTTTCTTTTTACAGGGTACAGAGGGGAAGGAGGTGTATGACTGCAGTATTGACACAGAGGGACTTGTTCTGACTGTGGAGGATTGAGTCAGAATATTTAGTGTAATCAGATAACACAGGACCCGAAGTGTATACAGTATACATACTGTACTGTTGTCTGCTATGATCTTAACAAGGACAGGATGTGGAATCCAGAGTATTATGAGACTATTATAACTGTCATGTGATGAGATAAAATAATATTAATTCATGTCTCAAACTGAGTAGAGAAAGACTATGAGTGTAGGGTCAACAATGGGGATATTTGTCTGAAAAGAGACAAAGAAATCTATTCTGCTTTTATCAGTGTTTGTTGTATTTTGGAAGGAAATAGATGCAAACATAAACACAGGAAATTGCCACACCGGGTTTGTTACAGGAAGTTATCCTACACACAATTTTGTATGAATTCTTTCTGTCCCTGCTTTCACTGAAAGTGGAGGATATTAATTTGGGTCTGTCTGTCCATCAGTCTGTCTGTATTTCTGTCTGTCTGCAACACTTTCATTTCTGTGTGATATCTCCAGAAGCCTTTGAGCTCTTGCAATGAAATTTTATAAATTTATACCACAACTCCCTATGGCCTAAGGAAGATCCCTATTGATTTTGAGGTGAAAAGATCAAAGGTCAAGGTTGTGAATTCAAACATTCTGTCTATGTGTAACACTTTTGTGTCCGGGCGATATCTCAAAGAAGCTTTTGAGCCCCGTCTGCCCCTCTCAGAGTGTCCCGACCCGTTGTTTTTTGGTCACTTTTTTCTTATCAAAAGTCATTTGGAAATTTGTTGGCATTGATCATGCTCAAAGTTTTAGAGTTACTCCCCATTTGTATTAAAAGTCACTTGGCACTATTTTTAGCACAGGAGCATGTGGAGAATTCTTTCATATAATACAGGATGACGGCGGACTTAATATTCTAATTAATACATCTATTGGAACTGTTTAGTAAAGGCTAAATTAGATATCATGTTTTGTGTAAATGAAATATGAAGATAACGAACATTATTCAATCTCGAAAGTCCAATAAAACAATACCAATTTGGAGCAGAGCAAACACAGACCTCAAATTTAAGAGGTGAGATCAGGTTCCATGGAAGATTGAGCATCCCGTGCTGACCAGTCACACCCACCATGTGCTCCTTGTCATGATCGGGGGGGAAAAAAACGGAAAAATCCGTAGATAGTTCAGTGTGCAAATAAGGGCCTAACAGTTAGTATGAAAAATGTCAGCATTTGGCTCAATGATAGGTTGTATGTGCTGACAGGGTCATTATATCGACCATAAAACTTGCGAAATGATGACTTCAAAAAAGACTGTTGATATCCTTATTTCATCAACTTGTTTGTCAATAGCTTGCCTTGTTTTAGAAATTATTCATACGTAGAGCATGCTCTTGTGCATTGAATCAGCTGAGAGACATAAATCCCATGTGCAGGTGATGAGGGTATATTGTACATAAGTAACGGAAGTTGACGATTGAAAAGTTGGAGTCATCACGTTATCATAAAGCTTTCTTGTTTGGTTACCATTAAATATTTAAATATGAAACAGATGTGTCAGACTCTTTGGTATCTTTTATGTCAAGCTCACTGGGATATAGCGAGTTGACATATGAATGGAGGTAACTGTTGTTAATTAACAGTACGTCGATATATCGAAATGTCGAGTTGAAGGCCACAGCAGGTGTTTTCTTCTTCTCATGTAGAAGTTTCTGAATAAATTCTGCTTCATATGAATACAAAAATATGTCTGCTAATAATGGGGCGTTATTGGTACCCTTCGAAATTCCAACAGATTGTTGGAAGACCTGGTCTCTAAAAACAACATAGATATTGTCAATCAGAAACTCAAACATTTTTGTAATATCAACTTCAGAATACTTGTTTGTACAGTCAGAATGCTTTTTAACAAAATAATTTTGCAAATGACCAATGACAGGGAACGTATATTTACGAGTTCCATTTTTATTGAAAAATCAGCTGTCTATAATGTCAAAAAGCCTGGACTTCAATTTATCGTCGGGAATGGTTGTATAAAGTGTTGACAAGTCATAAATTTTTATGTTATTGATTTTAGTAAAATTTTGTGATTTCAATTTTTCTAAAAGTTCCTTGGAGTTTTTGATTTACACCACTTCTTGAATATGCTGTTGTACAAACTTTGACAATATCGAACGTGTTAAGAACGAAAAATTGGACAGTTGAAATTTGTGCTATTTTCAGACAGCACAAGTATATGTTGGTCAAACGAAATATATATATATGTACTTAGAATAATGCCATTGAGAAGTGGTGAATAACACGTAAAGCACCAATTTGCACAAAGTATTTGGATCCGCGTCCAGTTTCGTACAAGCAGTTATGGCGTCTAGATGTTATAAGGACAGTGGAAATCTGTGATATTTTCAGACAAATCACAAGTATTTGTTGGTCAAACGAAAAATATATATTTTGAAAAAAGGCCAATGAGAAGTGACGAATAACACGTGAAGTACCATTATATGCACATAGTATTTGGATCCGCGCCCAATTCATACAAACGTTCTCATAAAATCATTATTTCATTATAAAATCATTATTTTATTTTATGTGATAAATATTTTATATATTAAAAAGAATCTTCTGTACACATTTTAAAGAATAAGCAATCAAATCTATTTATCCATATTGACATTTACTATGTAAAAAGTTTGTATAGGAAGACTATTATGTAGATTTTTACAGTAATAGAAAATTTAAAAAAAAATAATAATAAATCCCCCCCGCCCCAATTTTAAGCATATAGGGACGAAAATCTAACTTTAAGATTATGTGGCCTTAAGGCCAAAAGCTGAAAAGTCAATTTTTTTTCTTTCTCCATCTTGAAAAAATTTCTTGACAAGCAAAAAAAAAACAAACAAACAAACAAACAAAACAAAACAAAAAACTATTTCTTAAGGACATACGCAACGTACCTTACCTACTGGTAATTTTTCAAGATATTCTTAATTTAAGATTATAGTGCCATCAGATGTTCGTAGACCAAAAATCAGCATGCATTACCAGGGGTTTTGAAAAGATATCAATTGATGAAAATTCTTGTATAATTCAAAGAAAAATACACAAAAATTACTAAACACATATTCTAGATGTTTTTTATCCAAATTTTTTTTACAAGAAGTGTACAACAGCATATATAGACATAAAAATGTAGTGCACAGTTCCTTTAAGTTTTGGAACTCCAAGGAAAAAGACAATAAAGTTCAAACTATGTTGCGCTTGTCCTTAACAAGAGATCCATTTTTTCGGGGGGGGGGGGGGGGTCCAAAGTTATTAGCTCTACTGGTCAGAGACCAGAAGAGCTTATGCGATAGTAAGGTGTCCGTCGTCCGTCCGTCTGTCTGTCTGTCTGTCTGTCTGTCTGTCTGTCTGTCTGTCCGTCTGTCTGTAAACAATTTTTCAAAACGCTACTCCTCCTACAGTTTTGGTCCGATTTCAATATAACTTGGCACACAAGTAGACTACACTAAGATACATAATTTAGCGCATCGGTTTTTGATTTCGATGGACGGTGTTGCCATGGTTACTAAAAATAGAAAATTCTGTGAAATTCCTTTAAAACGCTACTCCTCCTACAGTTTTGGTCCGATTTCAATATAACTTGGCACACAAGTAGACTACACTAAGATACATAATTTAGTGCATCGGTTTTTGATTTCGATGGACGGTGTTGCCATGGTTACTAAAAATAGAAATTTCTGTGAAATTCCTTTAAAACGCTACTCCTCCTACAGTTTTGGTCCGATTTCAATATAACTTGGCACACAAGTAGACTACACTAAGATACATAATTTAGTGCATCGGTTTTTGATTTCGATGGACGGTGTTGCCATGGTTACTAAAAATAGAAAATTCTGTGAAATTCCTTTAAAACGCTACTCCTCCTACAGTTTTGGTCCGATTTCAATATAACTTGGCACACAAGTAGACTACACTAAGATACATAATTTAGTGCATCGGTTTTTGATTTCGATGGACGGTGTTGCCATGGTTACTAAAAATAGAAATTTCTGTGAAATTCCTTTAAAACGCTACTCCTCCTACAGTTTTGGTCCGATTTCAATATAACTTGGCACACAAGTAGACTACACTAAGATACATAATTTAGTGCATTGGTTTTTGATTTCGATGGACGGTGTTGCCATGGTTACTAAAAATAGAAATTTCTGTGAAATTCCTTTAAAACGCTACTCCTCCTACAGTTTTGGTCTGATTTCAATATAACTTGGCACACAAGTAGACTACACTAAGATACATAATTTAGTGCATCGGTTTTTGATTTCGATGGACGGTGTTGCCATGGTTACTAAAAATAGAAATTTCTGTGAAATTCCTTTAAAACGCTACTCCTCCTACAGTTTTGGTCCGATTTCAATATAACTTGGCACACAAGTAGACTACACTAAGATACATAATTTAGTGCATCGGTTTTTGATTTCGATGGACGGTGTTGCCATGGTTACTAAAAATAGAAATTTCTGTGAAATTCCTTTAAAACGCTACTCCTCCTACAGTTTTGGTCCGATTTCAATATAACTTGGCACACAAGTAGACTACACTAAGATACATAATTTAGTGCATCGGTTTTTGAATTCAATGGACGGTGTTGCCATGGTTACTAAAAATAGAAATTTCTGTGAAATTCCTTTAAAACACTACTCCTGCTACAGTTTTAGTCTGCTTCTAATATAACTAGGCATACAAGAAGACTATACTAAGATACATAATTTATTGCATTGGTTTTTGAATTCGATGAACAGTGTTGCCATGGTTACTAAAAATAGAAATTTCTGTGAAATTCCTTTAAAACGTTACTCCTCCTACAATTTTGGTCTGATTTCAATCTAATTTGGCACACAGAATACACTACGATACATAATATGTATTTCTGTTTTTTTTATTTGGGTGAATGGTGTTGTCATTGTTACCGGTACTAAAAATAGAAATTTCCGTGAAATACTTTCAAAACGCTACTACTCCTAGTTTTCATTTGATTTCAATATAACTTGTCACAAAAGTAGACTACATTAAGATACATAATTCTATTTATTGTTGCATGTTGCAATGTTTCAAATCCAAATGCTACTTTTCTTTTGTTATACAAACAGACCAGTAGAGCTACAGTCTCATCAGAGACTTCTGGTTTTTTTATTTGCTTCGGTACATACATTTAATAATTTAATAACTCTGCAAATCCAGGTGGGTCCGGACCTCGATATCCCCCTGAGGTGACACAAATTCTCTGAATTGGCTTGTTATTTATGTGTT